TGAGTTAGCACAGACTCTCTGGAGAGAATTTAATATTATCAAACCCATTAAAAGTGCTTATGACTCAGAAACACCGCAGTCAGAAATCGCCTTGGGAGCGTACAAATACAAAAAAGACATTGGATCTGGGCATTTGCCTTTAGGATTGCCTTTAGTGAGGAAAATTTGGAACTTTACAAGATGGCCAAAATAAATTAAAAATAACATGGAAGAATATATTATAGGAAAATGTTCATGATTTAATCATACTCTAAGCATACTTTAATTTTATTATACTCAGTACAATACCGTGATGGTGGGTGCATTTGTCTCACCCCATAGGAAGTACAATGCCAAGAGTGAGCCCTAGCGAAAACGATGGACTCTGAATGATAATGATGTGTTAATGCGGGTTCGTCCGTTGTCACGCATGTAGCACTCTGGGGAAGGATGTGACCACGGGGGAGGCGTGTGTGGGGACGGGGCTATATGGGAAATCTCTGTTCCTTCCACTCAGTTTTGCTGTGAACCGAAAACTGATCTAAAAAAACCCCACAAAGTCTATTTTAAAATTTGGAAAACAGATTACAAAACAATATGTTAAGGCTTATTTCTGCTGAAGGCTGGGCAAGCTCATTGTGGTCGCCGGACTTGGGGACAGGCTCTGCCCTGCCTGGGTCCTCAGGAAAGGACATGTGGGTGTTTTGCGCATAGCCTACCGGCCAGGGACTTCACAAGGCGCTTGGGGGGGGGGTCGTCTGGGGTTGCGGAGAGGGGAGCATATGAGCCTGGTGTCGCTACAGCCATCCTGTCACCAGGAGGGAGAGGCAAAGCAGGGGAAGCAGAAGGAAGAGAGACAGAAAGTGAAAGTTAGAGAGAGACCAGATGACGAGGTTTGATTGTTTGGCTCCAACTTGGCTTGAAGCTCGTCTATTCCTGGGTTTTTCAGATAATACATTCCTCCCCTGCTGGATCCCCCAAGGTTTCTGTTGCTTGTAACCAAAAGGGTGTCCGCGCCCTAAGCCCAAGCTCCCAGCCTGCGCACCTGCGATGAGCCGGTCACTGGAGCCGGGTGAGGGCACAGCCGTGGCTGTCCAGGCATGTTTGTCAGCACGGGGAGTCCTTCCTCAAAGTGGGCACCCCCGGGGTGCGCATGGGGGAAGGGGCATCCTGGCCCTGCCCCCTTTCTGGGCGCAGGCCTCTACTAAGGGTCCCCAGGGACGGAGTTTCCTGCCCCAGGGTGCTTCAGCTTTCCCTCCGCCTAAAATTCTCCCCTCCACACCCTGCAGCAGGCTGCCTCCTCAGATTCTCCTGTGGCTCCCTTAAACGCCTCCTCCTCGGAGAAGCCTTCCCTGACTGTCTGGCTGAGGGAGACCATTCTGCCTCAGCTTCTGTTTGCTGTAATGACTGCCTTCTAACCTAGGTGTGCTTAGAGACTGGGGCTGTGCCCTTCACTGCTGTGTCCCAGCTCTTGGCAGCGTCTGGCAAATGCTGAGAAAATGAGAATGTGCACAGGTAGATGGATAAGGCTGGGAGGGGCCTATTCTGGGAGCAGACTAGGAGGGAAGGGCTCTGTGCAGGGCCCCTTTGGGGGAGCAGCATTTTCTTGCTCATACGGGGGGCGGGGGGCACAGAGACACCGACCAGAGGACATGCTGCAGGGTCGCGTTTGGGCTGAGCTAGAATTTTCCTTCCATTTGAAAGTCTTGCCTGAAATCGAGTATGTAGCCAGAAGCCGGAGCCCAGGCACCACCTCCCAAGGGGGGTGTGTCGAAAGCCAACGATGCCAATCAAAGTCAAAACCAGGCCCACGACTGAGCTGCTGGGCTGAATACAGGGCGGGGGCGGGGGGCCGGGGCCATGGGCCAAGCAGCAGGGAGCAGGACCCCAGATGGTAGGGGACCATGCACAGGCAACATCGAATGATCCAGCCTACGTGGTCGGAAACTGATTTCCGTTTGCAGGATTCTCCGGTCCTTCTGAATAAATCAGAGAAGAGTCTCAACTTGGTGTCTCTGTCTCTTTTCACAAAGAGCGTCTGGCAGCCTCAGGTTCAAGGGCCGTCTCAGAGAAAGGCCTGTGAAGTGCACTAACAGCAATAGGTTTCATTGTGTTTATTTTTACGCTACCTTTCTAATTATAGCAAGTGATTCTGATTTTCCATTTATAGCGGCAATAGGAAGTTTCTTTTTCAAATGCATTTGCCTAAGTGAAAGGGGACTGCTAAAAGGAAAATGGTGAGTGGATGTTAGAACAGGGGGCAGCATGTGGGGGGGGGGCAAAGAGTGGGGGATGTGTGGCCGGGCAGGAGGATTCTGGGAAGGCAGCTCTGGGACAGGAAGCATCTGGAGAGCCCCTGGGCAAGTGTCCCTCCCCCGCCAGCAGGTGGCACTGACACTGGTTTCGCAGCCCCAGGACAGAGTTACAGCCAAGAACACCCAGAGTGAAGGCCAAGCGGGCCAGAGCCCACCTGGCCAGCCAAGCCTCAAGACTGACCCTGCACCCCTAGGTCCGGCCAGGTGACCCCCAGTGGCCCCTTGGAATTCTTGCCCGGGGTCATTCTGTCTGCCCCGCCTGCCAGACCATGTCACTTTGATGTGGACACCCCAGGTCTGGTCCTGGAGCTGTCCCTGTCTCCCTGTGTGACCTTGAGTGAGTTACCTCTCCAGGGTGTGTGTCCTGCCTAGAAACAGAGGTGAGTGAAATGACCTTTAAGGGCCCTTAAGGATAAGAGGATCAGGGACATGTCCCTACCGTCTCCTCTCGCCTCTCCCCTCCAAAGTAGGGCTCAGCGGGGAAGGTACAGGCCTGGGGTCACACAGGCCTGAGTTTAATTTCTTGCTGGACCTGTCGTGAGTGGTGGGACTTTGGGCAAGTCACTTAACCTGCGTGTGTGTCTGTGTGCTCATTTGTAAAATGGGATGAGAATAGCTCCTGGGCAGGTCTGGGCCGACAGTGATGAGGGAAGCCCTGGGCACAGAGTTGGGCCCCCAAAGTACCAGGGGAGCTCTGCCCACAGGCAGCCATTAGAGGCGCCATCTTCCCGTCCTGACTCGGGGTGGGGGAAGAGACCTGCCGGCTTCCCAGACCTTCCCTGATCCCTGCGGATGGACGGGAGGGGCTGCTGGAGCAGGCCTTCATGGGATGAGCCCCCAGCCCCCTCAGGCTTAGGGCCCGAGTGCCCAGAACCGGCTCCTGAGTGTGGGTGAGGCTGGCGTGGTGCTCCCACCTGGAGCCCCCCAGGTCCTGGGATTGTGTACAGGGAGGAGACAGGTGGGGATTATGATCTTGTAGGTTCCTTCTGTCGGTATAGACTTTTAAAAAATTCGCGGGGCGCCTGGCTGGGTCAGTCAGTTAAGGGTCCGACTTCAACTCAGGTCATGATCTCACGGTTTGTGGGTTTGGGCCCTGGCATCGGGCTCTATGCTGACAGCCCAGAACCTGGAGTCTGCTTTGGATTCTGTGTCTCTCTTTGTCTCTGTCTCCCTTTGTCTCTGACCCTCCCCTGCTTGCTCTCTGCCTCCCAAAAATAAACAAAATGTTAAAAAAAAAACCCTAAAGAAAATTCTCCCTCTATACTACACACATATATATATGATTTTGAGACACATTCCCCCCACACTCCCACGTTTCAGCACCTCTGGTCAATGACACCTTACACTCTCTGTTGGCCTGAGTCGATGTTGACTTCCTTCAGAGAGAACTTGCTTTCTGAGGTGCCAGGTACCCGGAACACTGGCATCTGAGGTCACTTTACCGTGGACCACACTGTATGTGTTCAGACCCTAAATCTCACAGCTCAAGTTCTAGGAGTAAGACTCCCAACCCCCACCAGGTCCCAAATTTGATTCATTCATTTCCTGATCATCTTTTCTCTAGCAAAATCTCCTGAGTATATTTGCTACATTGGGAGCTAAGTTTTTGCTCCCCCAGCTTCCGGCTGGAAACTTCTATCGCACTCCCCATGTTGGCCATATTTTCCTTCTGAGTGAATATTTGGTGCGCCTTATAGCTGACGGCATCCTACATTTGATGAAATGACTCACATCAGTACGGTCTTCACCATTACAAATAGAGTCACGGCCCTTTGTATTTCCACCTCACACTTTAATTTTCCATATGCCCAGATTTTCAAGAAGTCCAGCGTCTCCCATTCAAAATGTCCTTCTCCCGGAGTAAATGGAGAGACCTGAAGCTTTCTCTGTCCCAAGGTATCATCATCTATTTCTAATCTCAAGGCCAGAGCCTGATTGGGCCACTCCAGCTGTTGCCACGCAGTGTCGCTGTTGAACACATTCTGGTGCAGCTTGGTGGATGCCCGTTCACCGCCACTGTGATCCCTGGGCTGAGAAAATCCTTGCACAGGCCAGGCTGGTGTCCCACATCAAGTTACAGCCTCTTTATTTTGCTCTGATAAGTTCGACCAGTGGGTTTAGGTCTTCAGGGACCTCTAGCCTCAAACAAAAATTGGTCCAAACCAGGCAGTATTATCAGCTTCAGGACCAGTGTTGAGCCTAGGTTATCGGGCCAGACTCCCCTCCACTCGGGCTTTTAGTGTCCTTTCCTGACAGCAGACTTCAGTCAAGGGCATCCCCATCCATTACAGAGGTTCCAAGAACATTGTTCCTCAAACGGGGAGGTGGTAAGCATTCAATCTCTGTCCTACCCAGAGGTCCCACTGTGTATTGTCCCCTTCAGGGATATATCTACATAACTCAGGGAGCCTCTCCAAGGGCCAGTTGCCCTATAAATGAAAACCCACCCAGGTAAGGAGGTGCATAATCCTAATCAGAGAACCGTTGGCAACTTCTCTTCCTAAAAATGCCTTGTTTCAGGGGCGCCTGGGTGGCTCAGTTGGTTAAGCCTCTGACTTCGGCCCAGGTCACGATCTCACAGTTCCTGGGTTCGAGCTCCGTGTCGGGCTCTGTGCTGACAGCTCAGAGCCTGGAGCCTGTTTCAAATTCTGTGTCTCCCTCTCTCTCTGACTCTCCCCCACGCACACTGCCTCTTTCTCTCTAAGAAATAAATAAAACATTAAGAACATTTTTTTTTAAATGGCTCATTTCACAGAATCCTCTGGTAGGATTATGTTCTAGCCCAGTGTCGCTACACCCTTCAAAGGGCCCCATACACCCCATCCCAGAGACGAAGTTGGCCTTGAGGAGCAGTGGATGAGCTTTTGTTTTGCCAAGTCAGGTCTACACGCTGAGAGGGAAGAGCCGGAAGGTTTAGGATAACAGTGAAGATATCCGCAGGCGAGGTCAAGGGAGAAGGAGCAGAGACGAAGGGCCAGCTGGAGACAGCCGTCCGGACGAGATGGGTTAAGCTGTGTCCTTGGTGTGCAATGTCACCCTCCCCTCCCGCTACCCACAGAAGCCTCAGGAAGACGGATCTCACCCTCCAGCGTTTCGGCAGCTGGGTTTGTGGTTTTGAGATGAGGTGAGCCTGGCATGGAAGGGACACAGGACGCAGTCTGTTCAACACAGATGGGAAAGTGGAGGACCAGAAGAAGGGCTTGTCAGAGGTCCCCCAGCAACCTAGGGCCCCACGTGGCTCCTCCCCCTAAACATACCCCCCCATCTCCAGCCTGCCTGCCAGAGGGGCTCAGTACAGATATTCCCGCACAGTGAGTTCCTTCAGGGTGAGCCCCCAGGGGGTGGGCTTGCGCAGCTGGCTCTCCTGCAGCCTCTTCTGCAGCGACACGAAGTCTTTGCCCAGCGTGTAGGCCAGGCGGATCATGGCGTCCAGCAGGGGCGCGTAGTAGCGATGGCCCTCCCGGGCCTGCAGGCACTGGAGCGCCCTCTCGCCCACCGCGAAGGCCTCCGCAGGGCGCTCCAGGTCCCGGTGGCACACCAGCATGGCGCAGAGGGCCGGGACCACCGTCACGGGGCAGTGGGCCGTCAGCTTCTCCTGCAGGGGCACCACGCGCACCAGGATGTCCAGGGCCCGGGTGTACTGGCCGCCTCGCAGGCAGCCGAAGGCCTCCCTGAGCTCCGGCCGGGTTAGGAAATCGATGAACTCGCGGGATCGCCGGACACAGCGGATCGAGTAGAGCAGACTCAGGTACTCCTTGAAGGCCAGCTTGCGCTCCGAGATCATCTCCTGCGTGAAGTTGCCCATCAGGTGCTTCTTGGGGAAGACGACATCCTCAATCTCCTCCCGGAACGTCTTGAGGAGGTTTTTTTGGAGCGTCTCAAAGTCTGAGTAGCGCCGCTCCAGCACAGCTTTGTTGCTGTCAAAACTCCCTGTCTGGATGACGACGATTTGGTACATCTATGGTGCAGAGAGAGAGAGAGAGCATTTGACTGTATCCTAACGGGAGGTTTTCACTGACAGAGTGAGCCCCAGCAAATAAAATATAATGATGATCATAATTTAAAGCATCCCCTGAAAATGCGTTATCGCTATACGCAATTCTGTTTCAAATTGTCATCAGCATCTCTGAGCTAGAAAAGCGAATCATGACAAGAGTCAGCTCAATGGAGGCGTCTCGTGGGACAAAGAGCACATGAACGGGGGTGGGGGCCGGGGGCCTGAGCGTGCCCCCTCCCCTTGCCTTACATTGTCAAAACCCGGCCTCAAGTTCCTAAACGGGGGAGCTTGGATGAGATCCTTGTTTTCCAAGTGTGGAACATGTGAGAGGTGGCTTTAGGCAGTACGCTGGCGGTGATGTTATATGGTAAGAAAATTATTGCTTTTCAATTCTCGTTCAGCCAGAGAACGCTGATTAAGGGCACAGGCTGCCGGGGTTATAATTCCAGCCCCCCCCCACCCCCCGCGCTCTGGCTGTGTGGTCTTAGGTAGGTACTTTACCCTCCCCGAGCCTCAGTTTCCTCATCCATAGAGCGAGGGCAGAAGTAGTGCCTCCCTCACTGGGTGAGGATGAAGTGAGTTAGTGCGCTGCAGGGATGGGGGACTGCGCCCACCACGCAGTCGGCACTGTGTCCCCATTGTTATGATTCTAGTCCCAATTAGGGGGGCAGTGCAGGGGGAAGGGTCCTACTTGGACATTAACATAGCCCCCAACACAGGCGAAAACACCATTTAATTAATTAATTTAATTTTTATTTTATCTTTGCACACACACTTGTGTGTGCAAGTGGGGGAGGGGCAGAGACGGGGGGGGGGGGGGGACAGAGGATCCCAAGCAGACTCTGTACTACAGCAGTGAGCCCGACGCCGGACCCAAACTCACGAACCTCGAGATCATGACCTGAGCTAAAGNTCCAAAATGATTGCATCTCACAAATTTTATTTTCTTTTTTAATTTTTAAGATTTTAAAAATGTTCTTATTTTAGAGAGAGAGAGAGAACAAGTACAGGGGGGGTAGGGGGGGGGGGGGGGGGCGGGGACAGAGGATCCCAAGCAGACTCTGTACTACAGCAGTGAGCCCGACGCCGGACCCAAACTCACGAACCTCGAGATCATGACCTGAGCTAAAGTCAGACACTTAACTGACTGAGCTACCCAGGTGCCCCTAAAATTCCACTTTAACAAAAAAAGCAGCCCCTGAACCTAGAACTTCCCACCAGCCAGCCTGTGGTATAACCAGCTGGAATCTAATAAGAGCATTTAGCTTTCCTTGTACTTACTTTTATAATTACCTTTTCTTTATGCTCTGTGATGTTGGTTTCCCTTTGAAAGATATTTAGGTTTTTTTTTAATTTTAAATTATTTGATTGAGAGAGAGCGAGCACAAGCCGAGAAGGGCAGAGAGAGAAGGAAAGAGAATCCCAAGCAGGCTCCACACTCAGGGCAGAGCCCTACAGAGGGCTTGATTCCAGAACCAAGGATCGTGTTCTGAGCTGAAATCAAGAGCCCAGCCACCCAGGCGTCCCTTATTGCGTGTTTTCAAAAAGTAATCCAAGATAAAGAAAATATATTATTATCATCACATATCATTATTTTATATAATATGTAATCATTAATATTATTCTTAGTTATTCATAAGAAGATAAAGGACTGGGGGTATCAAAACCTGTGGCGAAGAGACACAGGCGGTTAGTTCTGGATGACCCGCACTTCATCTGGGCCGGCGACTCACACATCTACAATCCTCACAGCTCTGAGCACACGCTGAGCGCCAGATCTTGCTTTTTGCCTCCGTTAGAACTCTGCGAGTCAACGCGCGCGCGCCCATTTCACAGCTGGGAGAGGCGAGGCCCCGCTGACTTGCGCGCGGCCGGGAAGGAGGCGGTGTAAGGCGGGCGCTCTCTGCCGGAGCTCCGACGTCCACTTACCACGAACTTGGACATTGTTCTCTCCTCGATGCGGGCCGACGCGACCTCAAAGAGCAGCTTGACGCGCCGCCAGCAGCGCTTCTCCTTCCGCCAGTACTCTTGCAGCTCCCCGGTGGTCATGCTGGAGTTGGGGCTGGGGCTGCTGTGGGGGTCTGCAGGGGCGGCACCCTTAAGCACCTGCCCCAGGTCCGTGCACTTGGGGGACAAGGGGTTGGGGACACGGCTGCGTCTGTCTGGGACGCGGCGTCGGAATCCGGGAGAGAGCCCTGCGCACCCCCTCCCCGGCCCCGCCCACCCAGACCCCGGGGCGCGCCACCTGCCGGCCTGAAGCAGCACCGCTCCACCCGCCGCCCGCACCGCCAGCCAGCTGGTTTCCCCGCTGTGCGATGCAGCTCCTTTGTGTTGCACCAGCCACTTCCGGCCTGCAGCTTGGCCACGGGCGAGCCCCAGGCTCCACACAAGCAGGGCGGTGGTGGCTGACGGTGGTGGCTTGTTCCTTTCTGCTCTCCCTACGGCGCTGCCGCCATGCGGTTGCCCCGGGGGCCCCTGAGCGCCTACCGGGCGACCAGCGGAGGGAGCCACTGAGGGTGCCGGGCTGGGGCTCAGCCTCGTGGGCCCCTCCGGGCTCTTCCCCCTCTCACTCCCCACATTCCACCTCGCTTTTGGCTTGCGCAGGCCGCTCCCGCTGCCTCCAATGCAACCCTCCTGTTTGCCTACCTGGAAAACGCACAGGGCTGTGTCTGCGGCCTCCCTTGGGCCGAGAGCGCAGTGAGCGCTTCCGAGAGCCTTGGGAAAGATTAGAATCCTTCCCCACCGAAATGCACAGATCACCGTGCATTTGCTTTCAAGAGATGTGCGGCTCAGGTGTCCTTCAAGACCCAGCCCATATGTCGCTTCAACTGTCCCCTTGCAGGAGAGTAAGAGCCTCCCTCCTTGTCCCTACAGTCTTGTTTGGTGACATCGCAAATTATTTTTCACAGACCTGTTTCCCTTCCACACTTGAGGGCCCGCGGTATTTGGTTTGTTCGTGTTTCTCCAGGGCCCTGCGCAAGGCCAAGGACAGAGCAGGTGCACAATGAAGAACGCATGAAGGAGGAAACAAACCTGCTCCAGGACATGACGCTATGGTGGACACTGTCATGCTGGGCATTCACTGTTCTGGAATTTCCCACTGGCTTCCTACCATGAGCACCTAGAACTCGCATTGAGGGCTTCCTTGAGCCAAAGTGGTGTGTTCTAGGGCTTCCCTCGGCTGATCTGGTGAAGGGTGGGACTGTTGGATAGGAGCCTGGTCTCCTGAACTCTTGGATGGGACGACTCTGAGATGTGTTCCCTATGTCTTGCAGAGGACCCCCTCCGGGACCGAGCCCAGTTGCACCCCAGCAGTAATCTGTCCACCAACACCCTGTCCTGGCTTCCTGCCCTTCCTCTCCTCCATTTACCGCCCACCCGCTATGACTCCTGGGACCATCTCCCAGCAAAACGACTGGCACCAAATTCTTGGGTCAAGTTAGGAAAGCTGGCCCCCTCTCCCGTGGCATCTGTTGACGTGCCCACATTTGTATTTCAGGTGTCTTCAAACCTCTGTCTCTGCCCCAGCCCCGAGCCCCAAGCCCACCTAAGTGCCCATCAGGTCGTGGACATGGGAGCTCTGGGTCAGTGGCTGGTGCTTCCTGCTTGGTCCCCGCGGTGCACTGGGTTATGGGTCCCATCCATCCGGGGCTCCCAGGGTGCTCAGGACTCGCCATTGCTCCAAGGCTGCCAGGGGGACAAGATAGAACAGTGAGTTCCCGCTCGTGGGAGGGAGGGGTTCCTGGTGGGTCCTGCAGTGCTAGGATCTGTGTCACAGTCCCCACTGCCCACCGAGCTGTCCGCCCAGCTGCCGCATGTGAGGCCCGGGTCCGCCCCTTTCCGGAACCGACAGGTCCAAGCCCTCTCTTACTGTCACTATGCTTATATCATCGAGTTGCTCTGAATCTGATTTCAAGCAAAGTCAATGTCTTTAGGGATTGCTTGGGAGCAAAAATGCTGTCTTGTCCAGAAGAACGTCCCAATGGAGTCATTTTCTGTTCCATTTGTAAATAGAATCTCAGCGTCCAAAGCAGAGATACTGATGTGTATCCTTCCCATCTGTCTCCCCCTCCCTCTCTAGGCAGACACTTACTGACTACTTATGGAACACACTTGGTATGCTCCTAGGTTCTTCACATCCACTTATTTAACGCCCACAAAAATCTGTCGTGACTCCCAATAACAGAAGAGGAAACTGAGGTTTAGCCCAAGGTTAGGTGGCTGGTGAGCAAACCCAACGAGCAAAGCTGAGTGTTTGTGACGTGCCAGGTCGTGCTCTGTACTCAACACCCACTTTCTCACTTAACTAATTCTGTGTGCAGAAGGACTTTTAGCTGCATTTGGTAATAAAGGAACTGAGACTTAGAGTTGCCCACGATCAAAGCTGGTATGTGGTAGGCAGGACCCAAATGCAGAATGGTCCTCTCCACCCTCTTCAGGGCGTGGGGGTGGGCAGCCAGGGGGAGCGCTGGGGGCTAGTTTACGCAGTAAGTCTGTCCTTGACCCAGATCAGCGAACAAGATGACCTGGTGCCTGGACTTCTCTGGGCCTCAGTTTCCTATAATTGGGTATAAGAACGGAGCCTGCCTTCACGACGCTGTTTTGAGGGTTAAGTCCACAGCTCAAGGCTCCACACATACCAGGCACTGTATCATAGTCCCTGCTATTTATTATTATTATAGTTTATTTATTAATTTGGAGAGAGAGAAGGCACGCACATGTGAGCAGGGGAAGGGCAGAGAGAGGGAGAGAGAGAGAATCCTAAGTAGGCTCTGCTCTGTCAGCACAGATGTGGGGCTTGAACTCATGAACTGTGGGATCATGACCTGAGCCAAAACCAAGAGTCAGCTGCTCAACCAACTGAGCCATTCAGGCACCCCTATTTAAAAAAAAAAAAAAAAAAGATTTTAAAAAACCTTTTTTAAAAACACTTATTTATTTTTGAGAGACAGAGACAGAGCATGAGTGTAGGAGGCATAGAGAGAGAGGGAGACACAATTGAAAGCAGCTCCAGGCTCTGAGCTGTCAGCACAGACGTGGGGCTTGAACTCACGAACTGTGAGATCATGATCTGAGCTGAAGTCGGACGCTTAACCGACTGAGCCACCCAGGCGCCCGTAAAGATTTAATTTTTAAGTAATCTCTACATCCAACATGGGGCTCGGACTCGTGACCCTGAGATCAAGAGACTCACGCTCTACCAGCTGAGCTAGCCAGGTGCCCCCGTCCCTGTTATTAATATCTGACACATGGTAATACTTCGAGAAATATTTGAAAAGTCAATGACTCTAAATTGAAGTGTAAGTGGGAACAGAATTGAGGCACAGAGCAAGGGCATGGCTTGAGCCCTCCAGAGCCTGCCTGCACACCTCATTTGCCTTTTCTCCCTTTAAGGAGTCACCCCTTCCATCCTGACCAATTGTAGGTCTGTATGCAAATTATTTAGTATCTCCAGGCCTCAGTTTCCCCACCTCAGAAGTGTGGCCACAAGCCCAGTTCTGCTGATGAGAAGATGGATGGCAAAGGACAGGCTCTCTATATTCTGGTAGGTGCCCAGGCAAGGTGGTGAGTGGTCCACATGCTTTCTTAGTGGTCCCTGGGTGGCCAGCATTCTGGGAAGCCCAGTGTTTTCCTGTGGGCACGCCTATGTCCCTGCCTCAGTTGACTCCTCCATAAAATGGGTGATGGCCAGCCTCGGTGGCCCCCACCCCTCCAGCCCTGCTATCCTGATCAGGCAGCTGTCACCGGGTCAAAGCAGGGCACAAGTTGCCCAGAGGCCCTGTGAGACCCCGGAAATAATGGCCTTGGCTGAACACACCAGTAAGAGCTGGGAAAGCTGAGCTTGGGCCCAGGGCTTTGAATAAAAATCCAATTCAGGAGCCAAAGCCAGTTCCTTTGTGTTTTCTCTTTAGAGGGTTGGCTGGGAGTCACCATGAGAGGAGTGAGAAGGAGAAAGTCATGCGTCGGTACACGCACAGAGCCTTGGACAGCTTCCCGTTCCTCTCTAGGCCTCAGTTTCCTCATCTGTGAAATGGGGAAAGCAGCCCGTCACTCCCAAAGCTCTGTGGGGACAACCACGCATGGGGTTTCTCTGGGGACCACTCTCCTATCCCCATACCCTGCATAGCAACGATTTCTTGATTTTATGAGAAAATCCTGCAAATGCTGGTGCTGTGGCTTGGGGTCCTGTGCTGGGCCCAGGAGACAGAGCAGCTTCCCAGCCCCCGGCCCCGTCCAGCAGTGTGTGAGGCCTTTCTCCTCCTTCCCTCCCGGGCCCTGAGCACCACTCCTCCCTCCCAGGGCCGCCCCTTCCTATCCAGGCCTTCTTCTGCCGGCTGTCCGGGGCCACCTTCAGAGCCTGTGCTACCTTCCTGGGGAGGCTGCTTTCCAGTGGACTGAGGCTCCCATTGAGCAGAGGAAAGCCCGGCCCGGGAGACAGAAGGTCCTGGACATTGGGTGGGCGCACCCCCATTTGGGAATCTCCCGCGGGGGCTGGTTGGGGGTCCCAGGAGCTCATACCAAGCAGGTTTCCTGGTTCTTCACAATAAAGAGTCCCTTCCGGCAGGTTTGGGGGTGGGCCCTGACTTCTGCATTTTGCACGGGCCCTCCCCCCAAGGCTGCCTGGTCTCCCGTTCTGTGTGTAACTTATTCTCTAGGCTCTACACGGGGTGTAGAAGTATCTCAAAAGAATTGAGCTGATGGAGGGTCGGGGATCTGCTTCCTGTTCTACCCCGGGGAGCTAAGGAGAGCCCCACACGTAGAGGCTCAGCCCCGCCCTGCCCCCAGCAGGTACTGGGGCAGGGGGCACAGGAGGAGGGGGCTCGGGCCACAGGACGGCAGAGCCCCACTGAGGTTGAGATCAAACACTGACCTGAGGCCTCTGATTCCTGTGTGGGGCCGGGGGGGGGGGGCCAGGAGGGGTGTCACATGGCCGGCTTCAGCTCTCCCCTCTTCTAGGCTCCAGCGAGGCCGCCGCTTCTGAGTTCCCCCTTTGAAAACAGGAAATAGGCTGTGTGACTTGCTCCTGGTCACCCCAGCCCATTGGCTGATGACAGGTAGTATGTTGAACCCTACTGACAGGCAGCCCCACAGGAGAGGGACGGGCAGGAGGAGGCTAGGCCGGGCCAGCCCCCAGGGATCTGGTTCTGGGGGGCCTAGCTGGGCCCCCCACAGCCTTGGAGCTGGCTGGGCTGTCAGAGTCCCAGATAATCTCTGGCATTCAAACAGCATCTCCCAATTGACATTCCTTATTCTATCCCATGACCTAGACATGGTGGGGGCCATCATGCCCCATTAAACAGATGGGGAAACTGAGGCTTGGAGCACAGAGCTGGTGGGATAGACAGCCAATGCCTGACGTGGAAGGGAAATGGGGTAAACTCACAGTTCCATCTGGTGCCTTCCTCTGGACAAAACTGCATCCAACACTCCAGACAGAAAGTCCTGGGGAAGTCCGACCCCTGGGCTGTGATGTGGTTCATGGCCACTAGCATTTGCGGCCTCGAGGGCAGGGGACTGGGAAAAAACCAAAAAAATATAGAGCCTCGCCAGCCCCCAAGAAGGCTGCCACGTGCCTCTTCCGAACTCTAATCCCCTCCCCCCCATTAGAAATAGTCGCAATCCTGCGATCCTGATTGCGAGGAGGATCACTTCTTTCTCTTCTTTGTAAATTTACCACTTATGAATAGACCCCCCAAACAACAGAGCTTCATTTTACTTTGGAATTTTAGGTAAATCGAGCCACGCATCGCGGTTTATCTGCTATGGTGTCTTGCTTCCTTCAGTCACGATTTCTGTGTATAACCGTCATCAATCTGTACTTGTGTGTGTAGCTGCAGTCTTTCCATTTTTGTTGTTATGTTGCTACATTATTTGAATACATCATTGTTTCCCTCTCTCTCTTTTATTTTTTACTTTTTTGATCTGTTAACACACATTTAGGTTGTTTCTACTTTGGACCATTGTGGTCACTGCTGCTGGGAATATTTGTGCACATTTATCCAAGTGCACATGTGTCTGTGAGGTGAAATCCCCAGATTTCAGAGAACGAGCAGGCGAATAGCTTCATCTGGGCTGGATTGTAGCAAACATGTCGCCAGTGGCTGTGTCTCTTTGTGCTCTCTCCCCCACTAGCCCTAGGTGCTTCCCCTCTCCTGCCCCCTGCAGGGCGTGGGAGCCCTGGATGCTCCACGTCCTCACTTACACTTGATGACTTGGCATTTTTTTATTGCCATCATTCCACTGGGTGGGTAGTGGGGTCTCAGGGTTTTACGTTGCATTTCCCTGATGAGGAGTGATGTGGAGCATTGTTTCACGGGGTTATTTTCTACCCGTATAGCCTCTGTTCAAGTTCATTGCTTGTTTTTTGGTTTTGGTTTTGGTTTTTTTTTTTATTGGATTATTTCCTACATGGTCTGTAGGGGTTCTTCATGAGTTCGTTTGGGTCTATGTGCTTTTCAATATTCTTTCCCATCCTGCGGTTTGCACTGTACTCTCTAAAAATAGCACGTTCGGGGCCACCTGGGTGGCTCAGTCAGTTAAGTGTCCCACTCGGCTCAAGTCATGATCTCACCATGGTCTGTGAGTTCGAGCCCGGCATCGGGCTCTGTGCTGACAACTCAGAGCCTGGAGCCTGCTTCGGATTCTGTGTCTCCCTCCCTCTCTGCCCCTGCTCCGCTCATGCTCTGTCTCTCTCAAAAGTAAATAACCATTAAAAAACTAAAAATAGGGTGTTCGGATGAATAGAAGTTGCCAACCTTAAAGTAGTTAGCCCTCTCAATCTTGGCTTTCACAGCTCGTGTCGTACCTTAAGACCACGGAGATTTCTCTTTTACTGTTCTTTCTCGTTGCTTCTGCAACAACTTTGCAGGCCACCATGAGGCTTGAGCTAAGTGTGCAAAGCATGTAGAACAGGGCTGGTCCCTGGTAAGCACCGTACAAGTGCTGGCAATTCCCGCTGTTCTCAACACCTTTCCAGCTTGCCCTTCTCATCTGGGAGACTCTGATGCCCTTTCAGGAGATTTTCATGTATGGTGTGAGGTAGGGGAGCCAGTGTTTTCTCCCTAAGTGTCTGCCTAGGCCTGGAGTCTCCAAGACTCTGAGCCTCTTGCCCAGCAGCCAGCGAAGGTGGGGGTGGGAATGTGGAAGCTACTGCTTCCTCTTCTGGGGGGGGCAGGAGGTGATCTTTGGAAACCCCCGATCATGCAGGGGCATCTGGCTGGCGTGGGAAGGATCTAGTTGGACCAGAGTGGCCATGGATGGCCCCCTGCCAGGGGTTGGCCTTTCTGTGCGGCACAGAGCTGTGTATGGTAGGGGAGAACAGGCCGGGCAAGGCCCCACTGACATGGGAGGCCCAGGCTGGGTGTCCGAAACCATGGGGTGAGCGGCGGGCACCAAGGGGCTCCGGAGAGTCAGAAAAGGAAACGTTGGCATCTTTGAATCTGAGCGTCTGGTTTAGAATTCAAACGGCTAGGGCTTTTCAGTGACTTCCCCCCACTCCCCCTGCCTCCAGCACAGTCAGAGTAAGTCCAGACGCCCTCCGGAGGCCTCCCGACATGCCGCCAGCTCCCTTCCTGACCTCACTCTCGGCATCGCCGCATGCCAGCCAACCCGGGCTGCCCTCTGTGCCTCAGCCTGTCTCATGGCCTGTGCTCACAGTCTCTTCAGCCAGCAACGCCCCCTCTTGGTTCTTTCCATAGCAGGTGATTTCTCAGCCTGCAGCTTGGCTGTCTGTCTTTGGGGTGGCCTTCCCTGACCCCTCTGTTAACACCTATCATGGTTTTGCTTACTTATTTACTTGTTTGCTGCCAGCCTCAAATGTCACGATCACAGGGACTTCTCCTGGGTCAGTGCTCTGTCCCCGTTGCCTACCACAGTAGCTGCCACATAGTGGGCACTCAGCAATGGTGTGGTGCACCGGCAAGTGGGCGGACACAGAGAAGTGGCGATTGGGTCCATGACTCACCATATGACCCGGGCAGGATGCCGCCCCTCTCTGAACCTTGACTTCCCTAATTGCAACATGAGACTAAGTTAAGGAACCTTCTAGCACCACTGGGCAAACAACTGAACATGTGAACTACCTCTCACCACTGCTCTAGGAGTCTGCCACGCCTGAGACTCCAATGCTGATGCACTTCCTTTGATACATTCAAGAATTGATCACACACAGGTGTGTCCCCACATGGGCGGCAGAGAAAACCCGAACTTGTGAGGCGTTTGTTCGTCAGTGATGCAAAATCTGGTCACGTCGGTCTTGTTTCTCCACAGCTGGGTGTACGCACTCTGGAAGGTCCTGCTACTGTATGATCCAGCAAGCCCACTTCTGGGTATTTATCTTAAGACAAAGCAAACACTAACTTGAAAAACATCTGAACCGCCACATTCATTGCAGCGTTAATTACGACAGCCAAGATGTAGAAACAACCTAGGTATCCACGATGGATGAATGGATAAAGAAAATGTGGCGTATAGATAGAATGGAATACTATTCAGCCATAAAAAAGAATGACATCTTGCCATTTGCGACAGTAAGGGTGGACCTTTTACGTGCTACTGAAATAGGCGAGACAAACACTGCATGGAGCTCTTATATGCGAAATTAACAAGAAAAGAAAAGCTCTGGGGCGCCTGGGTGGCTCAGTCAGTTAAGTGTCCGACTTCGGCTCAGGTCATGATCTCTCGGTTTGTGGGTTGGAGCCCTGCATCCGGCTCTGTGCTGACAGCCAGCTCAGAGCCTGGAGCCTGCTTCGGATTCTGTGTCTCCCTCTCTCTCTGACCCTCCCCTGCTCACGCTGTCTCTCTCTCTCTCAGAAATTAAAAAAAATTAAAAAAAATTAAAAAAAGAAAAGAAAAGCTCCTAGATACAGAGAATCGATTGGTGGTTACCAGAGCCTGGGGTGGGGGTGGGTGGGGGATGTGGGGTGTGTGGAAGGGGTGTGAAGGGTGTGGGGGGGGGCTAGGAGGGCTGTGGGGGCATGGGAGGTAGGTGAAATGAATGAAGAGGGTCAGAAGGTACAAACTTCCAAAATAATGAACTCATGAGGATGTAATACATAGCGCAGTGTCTGCAGGTAACAATACTGTCGTGTATATTTGAAAGTTGCTAGGAGAGCAGATCTTAGAAGTCTCTCACCACAAGAAAAACAAGCCTTTGACTATGTTCTGTGACCAGTCTTATTGGGGATAATCATTTCACAATATATACAGGCACTGAATCATTACGTTGTGCACCTGAAATGAGTATTGTTATAAAAAATTATTTTAAAAAACCATCAAATGTTCTTAATGGGATTTTAAGTCTTATTTGTTTTTTTTAGTAATCTCTGCATCCAATGTGGGGCTTGGATACTTCTCCGACTGAGCCAACCAGGTACCCCAGTGCTGCGGGATTTTAAAACTGGGGCCACAGACAGAGTGCATGGTCGGAGGGGGGCAGGCAAAGATTCATACCTACACGTCTAAGAGGTTTATATTTTAGCTCTTATATTTAGAATTTTGAGTCAATTTTTGTATACAGGAGGGAGGGGACCAAACTCATTCTTTTGCATGTGGCCATCCAAATTTCCCAGCGCCATTTGTTGAAAAGACATTTCCCCCTTAACTTGTCTTGGCATTCTTGTTAAAAGGCACCCTACTTTTGAAGTTCAGCCATATATATGGTGTCTACCATGCAAAAGATGCTCTTTTAAAAAGAAATTTCCTTTGATATATAACAAGCATGAAGGAAAATGCAAATGTCATCTGTGTTTAGCTTGATCAGTTCTCACCAAGAATTCACACCCACGTAACCACCACTCAGATAGAAAGATGGAACATTCCTAGCGCCCCAGAAAGCCCCTTTGCCCCCCATCCTGGTCACTACCTCCAACCTCTTCCCCTGCAGTAACCTCTATCCTGACCCCTGTCGCTGGCACTTCGTGTTTTCTGCTTTTGAACTTCATACAAATGACATCAGACAGTATTATGCTTTGGCATCTGGATTCTTTCACCCAACGTGATGTTTATGAGGCTGCGATTCTTGGGGACTACAGTAGTTCATTCGTTTTCCTTGGTTATTACAATTGTGGCATCATTTTCGGTACTTAACAAAAATTTATTGCATTTCGGGCCCCATTCTAGGCCCTGGGATAAGATAGGAACCAAAACAGAAAGGTTTCTGTTACCTTGGAGCTCTTTGGGGTGAGAGACTGACATCAGAGACAATAAGTAAGGAAATACATATAGTATGTTGTGTACAGATAAGTGGGCTCTAGAAAAAGACAAAATAAAACAGGGAAAAGGATGCACGGGGAGGGGTTGCACTTGTACATGGTCGCAGGATAATCAGAGGAGACCTCACTCAGAAAGTCGTGTTTAAATTAAAAAAATTTTTTTAATGTTTTATTTATTTTTGAGAGACAGCGAGAGACTGAATGCCAGTGGGGGAGGGGCAGAGAGAGGGAGACACAGAACCCGAAGCAGGCTCCAGGCTCTGAGCTGGCTGTCAGCACAGAGCCCAACGTGGGGCTCCAACCCACAAACCGTGAGCTCATGACCTGAGCTGAAGTCGGAGGCTTAACCGACTGAGCCCCCCAGGGGCCCCTAAAATAAATTCATTATACCGGAAACTAAACCAGTACCGTTAAATTCTAGCTAGGCATTTGTCGCAGAGCCAAGTGGACGAGGCCGTGTTAGACAGCGGCTCAGGCCGCATTAGTACCAGAGATGGCTTGCCTCCACTTTAACAGAAGGCTCGCAAGAAAAAGGAAAAAAAGTGAACTTTAAATGCCCTGTCCACGCTCACCTAACACGTAACCCATCACAGTCTAGAAAACAGTGTTCTGGAACTTCACAATATGAAGTCCTTAGATGACTATGGACATAAAGGGAGCGTGGTTAATACGGGCTGGGAGAGCTTTCTTAGCTTTTCCTTCCACAGGATATCTGGGGCGTGTGTGTCCGGAGGGGCCTTGTCCCGAGAGCCTCTCTGGTTCCCTGTTGTAGAAAGTTGGCTCACTGGGCCCTGGTTGGGATGAGCCTAGGGTGTCACACATGAATGATGAATCACTCAACTCTACTCCTGAAACCATGATTACACTATATGTTAGCTAACTTGGATTTAAATTCAAAAAAGAAAAAGAAAAAAAACGAAAGAAAAAAAAAGGAAGGAAGGAAGGCGGCTCACTCAGGAGGACCCACTTGGCGGGGGTCTGCTCCTGCCCGCCCACCTGCGGGATCCCCGGGGAGGGGAGCGCTGAGCGCTCAGAGGTGGGCGCCAGGAGGGGCAGGCGGCTCGACCGGAGGGGGCGGGGCCCACCCGGCAGGGTGGTTGGGGAGAGGGCGGGGTGGGGGTGGGGCGTCGGGACTGGAGGGGCGGGGCCCGCAGAAAGGGAGTAGGAGTCAGAGCCTGGAGTTTGGGGCCAGACCCGGCGGAGGAATTGGGGCGCAGGTGGCTGCGCGGTGAGTGTTCGCGTATCCAGCACCCCAGCGCGGGGAGGGGCTGGGCGCAGAGGGTCCTGTCCCTCGGACCCGGACACCTGGCTTCCCGGCCGGGCTTGGGGAGGGGTTGTCCTGGTTTTCCGTTTGGGGGTCCCGGGGACTAAATAGGAGGTAGAAGGAAAGGGGGCATCTGGAGGTAGGGGAGCCCCCTGGCGAGCAGTGGCTGGGGGGGGGGGGCGGCGGGGGGGGGGGGCGTGAGCAGAACTTCCGGTTCCCGGAGCCTTTGCTGTCGGGAGAGCAGTTGTGTCTGGCCTTCCTGATGGGTATGGAGGGAAAGCCTGCAGAATGAGAAGTCCTGAGGCGCAGGGCTGGCCTGGGAATTAGGAGGCCAGATTCCAGGCCTTAAAGGAGGCTACCCTGGCTCCGGACCTCAGTTTCCCCATCTTCAGCATGCCTGTGAGGGGGTGGGTATAGGTGAGAGAGGGCATGGGTGATCTCTAATCCTGCTTGTGGCTTTGTAACTCTTAGGGAAGAGTCCTGAGTCCTCCCCTCCCTGGTGGGAGTGGAGCCCCCCCCTCCTCCCCAGCCTTGCATCCTGTGTGCCTCCGCCTTCTCCTTTGGTCCTCATGTTGGGGGCCGGCCATCTGGTCTTTCTTGCTTTCCAGCAAACTAAAAAGTCTCCCCAGATCTTCTCTGGGACAGCCTCCCCCGGCTGGACCCCGGGCTGTGTGTCTGCTTGGCTTCTCTGCCTTTCTGAGCCCTTAGGCTTGTCTTTCTGGTGGCCTCCGTCTCCCCATGGGCTGGTCTGTCTGCCATGTCACCTGTCCCCTTGGTAAAGACCAGAGTGACGTTCCCATGGCCTCTGCGCTCCAGTCATTGTTGGTTGCTCAGATCCCCTTTGCCAGTTTGGGATCTGAGGCTGGAAGGGACCCCCGTCTGGCCCACCGACCTCCCACCCAGTGCAAGATCCCTCTGCTGGGTGTACTCAGTGACAGTGACTTATGAGGCGCCCGCTTTGTGTCCTGCAGCTGTCGTTCCTGCTGGCTAAAATCTATGACTTGCAGATTTCCACCGCTTGGTTCCACTTCTGCCTTCTGGAACCATACAGAGTAAATTCATTCTTTTTCCGTTTTTAAGTTTATGTATTTATTTTGGGGGGGAGGGGCAGAGAGCGAGGGAAAGAGAGAGAATCCCAAGCAGGGCAGAGCCCTATGCAGGGCTTGAACCCATGAACCACAAATCATGAACTGAGCCCGAATCAGGAGTCGGACGCTTAGCCGAGTAAGCCATCCAGGTGCCCCAGAGTAAATTTTTTCTTTTATTCATTCAATTGATCTTTATTGATACACTGGGTGAGACACTGGGGCTATAGCAGTAAAAAAAAAAAAAAAAAAAATCAGACAAAACTCTCTGCCCTCATGGAGTTCGTATTCTAGAAAGAAGGAAGACAGCAACCAAATACGTATATCCGGGATATATCAGGCAGTGAGAGGGGCTGTGGAGAAAAACAACGCAGGCATGGGGGAATGAGGGCTGAGGTTGGGTCTTGCAATTTTATACAGCATAATCAGGGAGGGCCTCTCTGAGGTGGTGGCCGCTGAGCGAAGCCTTGAAGGAGGTGAAGGGTGAGCTATGTAAATATCTGACTGGAAAGACAGTGCACCTGTAAAGGGAAGAGCACAGAGCATGTGCAAAGGCCCTCAGGTAGAGGTGTGCCTGGTGGGAGCAGGTCCAGCTTGTTCTGGGAACAAGGAAGAGGTCTGTGTGGCCAGAGCACGAGGGGGGTGAGGAGCCCGTGGGGCTTGAGCAGATGAGTACAGAGAGGTGAGGGGTCGGGAGGTGGGTGTCTGTTGCATGGGGCCTTGAAGGCTACTGTGAGGACTTCGGTTTTTACTCGGGGTGCATTGGCATCCACTGGAGGACTTTGAAGGGAGGAGTCACCTGCTAAGACTCAGGAGTTAGCAGACCAAGTTAGACTGTAGGGAGGCGAGGGCAGAAAGCATGGGGGGCGGGGACAGCAAGCGGACTGCTGTTGTCATTCTGGGAAGAGACCCTGGGGGCTTGTACCCGTGGTTTAGAGGCCGTGGGAAAATACCCGATTTTCCGATTTGAGGTCTAGTTTGAAGGTAGCATCAGGAGGATCTGGATGGGAGAGAAAGGTAGAATCAAGGTGGAATCGGAGGTGTTCGGCCTGTGCGCCTAGAAGTTTGGCGCTGCTGTCATCCGAGATGGGGAGCTGTCTATCGTGGATCTGGAATGTTCGTTTATGCTGATTATGTGTGAGATGCCCAGTAGGCAGTCGGGTAAATTTGCTGAGGAGGTTGGAGCCAGAGAGGAAATTTGGGGCTGGTGTTTAAAGCCGGAAGAGCAGGTGAGCTCCCTGAGGGGGAGACTCGTACAGAGGAGAGAGACCCGACTCTGGGGCTCTGGGCTGCCAGCATCAGCAACCAGCCAACGAGACAGAAGTAGTGGCCAGTAGGATGGGAGGAGTAGTCAGAGTTGGGGGAGTTTTTCAAGGAGAGAGAGAGAGAGAGAGAGAGAGAGAGAGAGAGAGAGAGAGCGCGCGCGCATTCTGATAGATGCCTTTGCAGGGCCGGCTAGGCCAGGGCTGAGAGCCCAGCAAGTGCATGGCCATCTGGAGGGCCCAGGAGGACGTGCCGTGCCTGGAGGACATGGGAGGGGAGAGTTGAGGAGAGCAGTACAGACAGCAGACAATGACTCCTGTTGTGAAGGGAGTCAGAGAATTGGGGTGAAGCCGGCGGAGGAAGAGAGGGAGAGACTACAGTCTGTGTGCAGGTGGGAAACGGTCTCCCAGAGAAGCTCAGGGAAGGGGCGGAATGGAAGAGAGCGGCAGCAGGGGCGGAGCCTGGGCCGGGGCCGGGCTGGGGGCTAAGGGAGGGCCCCCGTGGTCGCCCCTTTCACTTGACTCTCTGTTTATGCCTCTTTTCTTTGCATGGGCCTCACCTTCCTCAACGGAAGACGGCAAGGTCTCCAAAGTTGCAGTAACTCAAGCAGAGAAGAAAAGACAATAGAGATAGGATTTAGTCCGAGGGGGGGTCTGAACAGGTGATAAGGGGGCAAGAAGCAGGATTTTAGGGGCCGTTTTTATGAAATGAGGGATGGCCGATCACCTCTTTTCTCTTGCTCCCAATTTAAGCAAAAGTGGGAGAAACTTGAGTGGACGTGATGAAGAACTTCCTGAGCTGGTTATTTGAAGACAGCAGCAGGGCCAGGTTTTCCCCCTGGATGTTTACAGTGAGAAAGGACAATGCCTGCTCAGAGACAGGGGTCTGGCCAAATCGATCCTTGGGGATTCTTCCTGCTCTGAGGTTTCTGGAAGAAGGCCAGGGAAGAGTTGGGACTTTCCAGCTTCTGGAAAAGGCCCCTTAAGGGCTGGGGCCTGGCTCTCCCTCCCGGTGTCCACAGATCCTTGATGTCACCACTTGGGTGGATGTGGCTCAAGCATTCTTGGCATGTTTGGGAGGGGCCCCTGCTTGTCCCCTGGGGGGTGAGCACCGCTGTGGGTGTGTGTTGGGTCCAGGCAGGGGGTGGTGGTGGGGTGGGTGTCTCAGTGCAGGTCATGGGGATGCACAGGGCTTTACACCAGAGCTGAGGAGAATTCCCGAGTTCTGCACAGTGGCTTGGCCATCTCTAGCTTCTAGACCATCCTTTCGGGATTTCCCCGGGAGGGAGGGGGTTCTGGGGGTGAATCCAGACCTGCCAGTCCTGTGCCACTCGGCCTTCACCTTCGTGCCTAAGGCCTGCCCGCAGGTTACTTGGCCGTGCCCGCTCTGCCAGGGGGAGAGGATGGGCTAGGCCCTCCCGATGCTGAGGAGGGGGCTGCTGACCGTCCTCAGACAACCTCTGGGTAAGAGGAGCGGGGAGCGCCAGGGCTCATGTTAACTGTGCGGTGTTTTAAATTCCCGGAGGGCACCTGGGTGGCTCAGTCGGTTAAGCGTCCAACTTTGGCTCAGGTCATGATCTCACAGTTCATGGGTTCGAGTCCCGTGTCGGGCTCTGTGCTGACAGCTCGGAGCCTGGAGCCTGCTTCAGATTCTGTGTCTCCCTCTCTCTCTGACCCTCCCCTGCTCACTCTCTCTCTCCCTCTCTCTCTCAGAAAAAAAAAAATTAAAAAAAAAAAATTAAAATAAATTCCTGGGTGTGCCCTCCAGGCGTCGGGTCAGAGGGAGAGTGCCCACCCCGTTTCTGGGCCTTTCCCAGAGGGAGGGGGTTCTCTGCCCCAGGTCCCAGGCAGGGGTGGCCGTGGGGCTGGCGTTTCCGAAGCCGAGAGCCATGCCGGGGCCAGCCAAGCCCAGACCCTTTCCTACCTGTCATCTCCTCTCCCCGCTCCTCATCTCTGCCTTCCTGACTCCTCTCTGCTCCGCAGTGGACACAGGGTGGAGGCCTGCGTGTCCAGAGAGAACTCTTTCAGTTCCTGACTTCCAGAAGCCTCTGCGCTGGGGGTGCCCTCATGAGCTGCCGGGTATGCAGGTGACCTTGCCGCCTCTGCCCCAGGCTTCCATCCTAAGTGTTGGCGGCAGTCTGAGTTGGCGATGTCTCCTCTCCCTTCCTTTGGCTGGTGTTCATGGACCGGCAGAGAATGTTCCAGCCCCTCCCCTTCCTCGGTGGAGTTTTGATTCACGCGCATCCCCGCACCATCCCCCGCGCCTCCCCGGGGCTCAGCCCTGTGCCAAGCTCACGGGTGCCAGGATGAGTAAGACCCAGGCTTCTGCTTCGGCCAAGAAGGAGGAGAGACACATAAACAGTAACGAGGAAAGTTGCACAATCTCTAAGCACCTTGGCATCTGCTCCCTTGAGTATCTCAGAATGTCTCTGTTTTGTAAAAACAAGGAGGTGTTGCCCTTCTTTTTCCCTTTCCCTTTCCCTTTCTCTGGGCACTGTACCAGTCCGCGTCCCTGGTCCCCATGACAGTCGCACAGTGGAGCCGGCTGAGAGATTTTCTCTGTGCTTGGGGACCCTCGCTCAGATTCCCAGACCCCAGAGTCTGAAGGCTGAGCCCAGAGCAAGGCACTGGCAGAAGCAACGACATGTGATGGGCATGTAATGGGCAGCGGTGGGAGAGAGAGGGAAGGGAGGGCCAGGGGGCAGTTGGGAAGGAGGCGGTGATTACTGGAGTCCTTGCTCCCCTTGGCTTTGAAATGACTTAGTTTGTGCTATGATTTTTGCTTCACCTGGGCTGAGATTCTTTTTTCTTTTTTTTCCTAATGTTTATTTATTTTTGAGAGAGAGAGAGTGAGAGAGACCGTGCGCTAGTGGGGGAGGGGCACAGAGAGAGAGGGAGACACAGAATCTGAAGCGGGCTTCAGGCTCTGAGCTGTCAGCACCTATCTCTACGCGGGGCTCGAACTCATAAATGGTTGAGATAATGACCTGAGCTGAAGTCGGACATTTAACCAACGGAGCCAACCTGGGTGCCCCTGAAATTTTGTTTTAAAGTTTATTTATTTTTTAAGTTTATTTATGAGTGAGCATGCACGCATGAGTGGGGGAGGGGCAGAGAGAGGGGGAGAGATTCCCTGTCAGCACAGAGCTTGATGCTAGGAGTGAACTCATGAACCCATGAGATCATGACCTGAGCCGAAATCGAGTTGACGCTTTACCGACTGAACCACTCAGGCGTCCCTAGGTTGAGATCTTTGTAGCAAGAGTCTGCTCTGTCCCTTGGGGTTGCAGTGGGTTACCTCCCAGGCATGGGCTCGGGCCCCTATGGGGAACTCAAATTTGGAGGAGACTGAAGGCATGCTTTTTGGAATTACACTGCTTACGTTCAAACCCTAGCCCCACCTCATCTGCCTGTGAATTCTTGTACACATCACTTGGCCTCTCTGTGCCTCAATTTCTTCATCTGTAAAATGGGGCCGATCATAGCACCTACTTCAGAGTGTTTGGGAAGGTGAGATGAATTCTCAAGTGGAAGCACCTAGTATGGTGCCAGCATTTTGTGTGTGCTTAGTAGATATTAGCTGTTACTGGACAGAGTGCAGCCATCAGCCTGAAGCCAGCCAGCGGGGGAGGGCCCTCTCATAAGGTCCCAAAGAGAGTTAATTTCCAGATCCCGTGGGAACCTGGCTCATACTATCAGCAGAAGCCTCACTAAACATCTTAAGTGAGGGATGAAGCCCAGATGTGGAAACCAGGCATCTTGATTTAACTCTTGGCTGCCTCAAACTTTCTGTGGGACCTTGAGCCAATTTCTTGCCTTTTCTGGGCCTCCATCTGTGCATCTGTATAATGGAGAGCTTGGGCTGGGTAATATCTGAATAGATCTATGGCCTCCCCGGACTTGGAGCCCCCTCCCCTCCCCACCTGCCTGCTTCCGGAGGAATCCTATACTGATCTCACTCTCCTTCCCAGGTTATGAGATGTGCACGCAGGAAGGTTTCCAGGCACAGAGGAGCCAGCTGGTGGGGCTGCTGGTCTCGGGGTCCCTGGAGGGCTTCGAGAGCATCCTGGACTGGCTGCTCTCCTGGGAAGTCCTCTCCTGGGAAGAGTATGAGGGCCTCAGCGTCCTGGGCCAGCCCCTCTCCCACCTGGCCAGGCGCCTCCTGGACACTGTCTGGAATAAGGGTGCTTGGGGCTGTGAACAGCTCATTGCAGCTGTCCGGGAGGCCCAGGCAGACTGTCGGGGTCCAGAGATCTCCTGCCGCTGGGATCCCCAGTCTCCCCACCCGGCCCGGGACCTGCAGAGTCACCGGCCAGCCATCGTCAGGAGACTCTACAGCCACGTGGAAGGCGTGCTGGACCTGGCGCAGGAGCGGGGTTTCATCAGCCGGTATGAATGTGATGAAATCAGGCTGCCTGTTTTCACGTCATCACAGCGGGTAAGGCACTTCCGTTTTGGGTAATCAGAATTCAGAGGAAAAGAGTGTTTAGTCACCAAGAAAAATTTGTCTTTGCGGAGTTAGCCCTATGGGGAGAAAGATGTGGTGGGATTCTCCCTAACTGGGCAGGCAGGCAGGTAGAGGTTGGTCGGAGCCTGCTTTCTGTGACCTTGGGCTTCTCTGTGGGAACTCTCCATCCCTAACTTCCCTTTCCTCACTTAAAGCATCAGCTGAGTTCCTAGTTGATTTGTCTCATGCTTAGAATGACGTCTAGCACGCAGACACGGCTCGTTTCCATGAGCTGCTCTCAGTTCTATCACCAACGATATCCTGTATTGGTATGCTTTTTTGCTCTCTTAAATCCACAGTTTGAGATCATGAGAATTCGTTAAGTTGTATCTGGGTTTAATAATTATCATGTTGTGTTTAGCATATAATTTAATTTAGTATGTAATTATTCATTATTAATAAAAGCCTACTGAGGACTACTGTAGTGTAAATGTTGGCCCTGGATTTCTGATACGAACTTGCGTTGGCTCACAGACATTCAGAGTCGGCTGTAACTCCCTCTGAGAGACCAGAAGAGTGTCTGCTGGGTCCGTTTGGAGACTCTTTATTCCCTTTTCCCCAAACAGTGACCCTCAGGGCTCTTGTGATTCAGATGGAACAGTAGCTGACGACCCATTTGATATATTGGAAAACTGATGCCCGGAAAAGGGGCTTGACGGCAGCAAAGTGCCATGTTGGGCCTGGTACGTTGACTCGTTTGTTCACTGTTAATTTATTCATTCGTTCATTGGGCCAGAATGTATGTAGATGCCTACTATGTGTCAGGTTCTTAGATCTTATTGGACCCAATAAATAGGCACTCAATAAATACTTGTTGACAAAGCACATGGGTTATTGAATGCTTTGGAGCTAAATTGCAGCTTTAGGATGGGCTGAATTGGGGGTCTTTCTAGTTTTTATTTGACTTAAAAAAATGTATTTGGCATTTAGGTAAGTGGTTGAGACTGGGATATGCCAGTCTGTCCTCAAGCCTATTTTATTTTTTTTTAAATGTCTTTATTTTGAGAGACAGAGAGCGAGCAGGGGAAAGGTATAGAGAGAGGGAGACACAGAATCCGAAGCAGGCTCCAGGCTCTGAGCTGTCAGCACAGAGCCCAACGCAGGTCTCGAACCCATGGACTGTGAGATCATGACCTGAGCTGAAGTTAGACGCTTAACTTACTGAGCCCCCCAGGTGCCCCTCAAGACTGTTTTAAAGCTAGCTCAAGGGGGCTGAGTATTTCCAGGGCAGATGTGCTGTGCTCCCCTCCTGTTACTCCTTAGTGCACGTGAAGCCTACAACTATACCCTGAGTACCAGCTGGCGCCGGGTTTGATGCTGGCCCTGTGGGGATTACAGAAGACGTGCTAGTTGTTGTACCTACCTCCGTGTCTCTTGTGATCTGCTGAGGGGATCAGGTCAGCCCATACGGGAAGTTAAAGAATGGTGTCTTGTCATTTTTGATGGAGGGTTCAACAGCGTGGTCTGGTCTGGATGCTCTGATGGGTTTAGAGAGGGCAGCCTCGGGTCTAGAGAAGACAGGGCACTAAGAAAGGGGGTCGTTGGATTGACGACAGAAGAAAATAAGGTAACGCGTGGGGCAGAGAAGAAATCATGACTGAATTTAGAAAATATTCAGAACCAAACAATAATGAGACTCTGATTTATAAAAATGTATGGGAGACTGCGAGAGCGGAACGTAGAAGGAAATTTGTAACCTTAAAGGCTAATATGAGGAAGAAGAAAGGCAGCATTTTAACAAGCTTAGAGCCCGTCTGAAGGAAGGGCTCTGTGGGCCGCAGAAGCAGGGAGGGCTGGGACTGGGCTGAGGATGTGGCTGACAGGAGATCTGAGGGTAGTAGGAGTTTACAAAGGGTCCGGGCTGCCTGAGGTTGAAGGTTTTAGAATCCAGTTCTCTCTGAGCCGGTTTTGAGCTCTGGAATTCTATGGTCCTCGGACTTGGTGGCTTTCCTTCAGTCAGTGGCTGAATTTCTGATTCAGTGTGGGTGGTACTGGTGGTGTGTCCAACTAACATATCTCCCCAGTCCGTATACTAAGTATATCTCCTTGGATACTCTCATAATCTGACCTCACATTTTCCTATAAAGAGGTGATTGCCATGGGTTGTCAGGTTGGGGACTGAAAAAGGCTATGGAGGGGCGCCTGGGTGGCTCAGTTGGTTAAGCATCCGACTTTGGCTCAGGTCATGATCTCGCTGTTTGTGGGTTCGAGCCCCACATTGGGCTCTGTGCTGACTGCCAGCTGAGAGCCTGGAGCCTGTTTCGGATTCTGTATCTCCCTCTCTCTCTGACCCTCCCCTGCTCACGCTGTCTCTGTCTCTGTCTCTCTTTCTCAGAAATAAATAAAACATTAAAAAATTTTTTAAAAAGACTATGGAATGAATCAAAATGTAAGTTAAAGAACCGTATCCCTGAAATACCCTGCCCTGCCCCTATTTACTGAGTGCCTACCATGTGCCAGGCACTGTCCTTAGCCTCTGTATTTATTATCGCTAAGCCACACTGCCACCTTCCAAGGGTGGAAAGGCTAACCTGTTTCTTCACAATGAACACTGGTGCCCAAATGAGAAGTGGCCCATATTGAGTTCGAATCCTGGCTGTCCCCAGAGCTTCTATCTTTTCTCTCTGCCATGAAATATGGGGCTTCGTGGGGTGAACTCGCATGGGTGGGCATAGCAGTTGTTAGCAAACCTGAGGCTGTAAATTCAGCTGTCCATCTGACTCGTGCACCTGCTGAGGTGGCCAGGGCCAGGGTGTCAGACTGAATTGCTTGACAATATTGCTTGCAATATTGACTCCAACACCTTTAACTTGGGAAACGTAGCATGCCCGCAGAGAAATTTATTGTGTCCTCTATTGTGGTATAAACGTGTTGCCATCACCCACGTGAAGGCATAGAATGTTACTAGTACTTGCCTCAATTGCATCCGCTAGCCCAACTTCTGGGTTAAATCGATTCTTTGCTTTTCATTATAGTTTTAACACCTTATGCAATCATCCTCCAAACAGTGTGTTTTGTTTAGAAAAACGTGCAGCAAGCACAAGCGTAGCGGTGCCCAAAAAGAGGTAGTGCTGCCTCGTCTTCTTGGATGCAGGCTCCCTTTCCCTTCTCAAGTTTATACGGGCTCTTGCTAAGAAGTCCATGGGCAAGGTCACTGGTGAGTCCTGAGAAATACAGGATTCACCACAGCTGGAGGATCTGGTAGGGCGGATGTGGGTCAGGGGCCAGATGTCCAGCAGGAATATGGTCAGAGGAAGTGGGCTTTCTGCAGGTTCAGCTGTAAGCTTGTCAAACGCTGTTCCAGCTCCCAGGAACAGGGCAAGGCCAAACACTTCTGTGGGGTGAAATGGGTGTCCTCAGCTGGCCCAGGCAATGGGGGTCAAGAGAAAGAATGATATTAGCCTGTGGTACGGACATGCCAAATATAGATAGGGTCTAGAGCCAGGCCTTCCTGGACATCTAGGATATAATTGCCCTCAGCGTGTCTGAGTCTTGAGCCACAATGCCTCCACTAGGGGTCCTCTGCTTACAGAACAGAGCCATCATCCCGAGATTTCCCTTTATCATCCTCTTGTGTTGGTTTTCCACAATGCCGTGTCTTCCTTTTTCTTGGTTTGTTCGATTCTGGGAGATCAGATCTCCTGTCTGCTTTAAAATGAGTATAGAGGAGTTAAATTTTAAGCTCTTCTGTATCTCAAACTTTCCTCATACTTGATCAGTAATTTGGCTGGGTATAAAATTCCGAGTTGGTCATCATTTTTCTCTAGAATTTGGAGATGATTACTCCCTTATCTACTGTCTTCCAGAGAAGAATTGCTAGAATCCCAAAACTATTCTATAACTCTTTCTGGAGGCACGTAAAATTTTATTTTGGCCCTTAACATTCTGAAACTTCACAAAGATGTGCCTTAGTGTTTCTGCATATTGTACTGGACACTCAGGGGGCATTTTGAACTTGAAAAGTCTTGTATTCATTTTCTTGATTACTTCATTGGTGATTTCTTTCTGTTTTCTCTCTTCTCTCTTTATGGACCTACTATTTGAATTTTAGGACTCCTGGACTCATCCCCTAATTTCCTCATGCTTCTTTTCTGTTTTCTCTTTCTGTGTCCTTTTGCACAACTTCCCCTATGATATCTTCAACTTATCTTTAAAGCCTTGCATTTTTCACTTTTGCTCTCACTTTTCACTTCCAAGAGCTATTTACAAACGTTTCTTATTATAGCATCCTGTTTTTGTTTTATGGATGCAATTTCTTGTCTTACTTAAGGATCATAGTGATATAGTGTGTTTTGTGGGGTTTTTGTTGTTGTTGTTTGTTTGCTTTGTAGAGGGTAGATATCTTTTCACCCTGCATAACCTTTTTAGCCTACAGGTTGCTTTGCTCTTCTGCACTTATTTGGGCTGAATCTCCCATACTGGATGCTTTCTTTGGGCATCTGATGATCCTTAGTTGTCTGCTTGTGATGGAAATAGACTCTAAAACTTAATGGAAACTCAGAGGCTTTAGATGATACTTGTCCAACTTGAGTTTCACTGTAGATGTTTTGGGAAGTGGTGGTATGTGTATCTTGAGACCTTTCCTCCTAGGTTGGTCAAGTTCCCAGTGTATATGTCACAGACCTCCTGCCCAGAGGTAAAGGTCTGATCGCCTGGGTTGTGGGAACCCAGTGAGTAAGAGGGCTGGGTGGTGACCATACTGGGGAGAGGTCTCAGCATTCAGTACTCATTGTGTACATGGCCATTTAAACCTCCTTCCTTTATTGTACCTGATGTGTCCCAGTCCATGGACCCTGTTTAAGCCTTTCCAGAATACAAATCTCCACACTTTGCCATGGCAGGTTGCTGTTGACTTGGAGTGGGGAAAGACAATTGGAAATCTGTTTTATAAACCACTTGGGCTCAGCTCTCCTTAATTTGACCTTTTCCTTTGGTTCTCGAGTACCTGATGCTCTTTTTTTCTTTCATAAAAATATTTTTTAAAGTTACTTATTTATTTTTATTTATTTTTGAGAGAGATAGAGAGCAAGCAGGGGAGGGGCAGAGAGAGAGAGAGAGAGAGAGAATCCCAGGCAGCCTCCACCCTGCCAGTGCAGAGCCCAGCTTGGGGCTCGAACTCACTAACAGTGAGATCACGACCTGAGCTGAAATCAAGAGTCGTATGCTTAACCAACTGAGCCACCCAGGCGCCCCTGTACCTGATGCTCTTAATTCCAGAGACCTTTACAGATTCTGAGATGTACGTTGTGTGCTTTTCAATCCGCCCATTGTTGGCTTAGGATTTGGCCTTGGGCTCTACTGAGCCTATTCCTATTTATTCATTTGGCAAGTCCTTACATACATGCTCTGTGAACCAGTGAACAAAACAGACAGAAATCCGGGAAATACTCACATTCCAGTGCAGGGAGATGGATGATAAGCAAAAGGAGGCAAACGGCAGAGCATGCTAGGAGGTGATGTGTGGAAGATATGCAGAGCGCATCCGAGGGTTCAGGGTTGCAGGGGGTGGGGGGAGTGATTGCATTTTAAATAGAGTGGTCAGGGAGTTCTCAAGGAGGGGTGATATTTGAGCAAAGGCTTGAAGGAGGTGAGGGAATGTGTCATGTGGATAGCTGGAGGAGGGGACAGCCCTGGCAACGGCTCACTGGTGGGAGCATGCTTGATACGTCCAGAAAACCCAGTGCTGGTGTCGAGTGCAATGAGCAGGGGTTGGAGCACTAATAGGTGAGGTCAGAGAAGTCAGAAGGGTCACGGATGTGCTTTTGTCTGTTTGGAGCTTTGTGGATTACTGTTTAACTTGGAGTTAAAAAAATATTTTTAATGTGTATTTATTTTTGAGAGAGAGAGACAGAGCATGAGTGGGGGACGGGCAGAGGGAGGGAGATGCAGAACCCAAAGCAGGCTGTAAGCTCTGAGCTGTCAGCACAGAGCCTGATGTGGGGCTAGAACTCATGAACTGCGCGATCATGACCTGAGCCAAAGTCGGATGCTTAACCCACTGAGCCACCCAGGTGCCCCTGGGCTTTTTCTTATTCTTAAATTTTATATATAAAAACAAACAAACAAACAAACAAACAAACATATGAGCAACGGGCAGGATGGAGTTGACGTTAGCTGGGAGGAGGAAGGCTGCAGGTTTGGGAATGGGCGTAGATTCGGGGCTTCGTTGTGGGTGTGTTACGTTGGAGGTGTCTATGGGGCATCTAAGCAGAGATGGTGGTAGGTAGTTTCCGATGTGCCTGGCCGAGGTTCAGGGGAGCGGTTCCAGTTGGAGATGACAACGTGGGAGGCTGTGCTCGGAGATGGGATTTCGAGCCCCAGGGCTCCACGAAATCACATCTCTTACAAATGATTTGCAGAATTGTTTTCCTATCCTTGCAGGTTTATAGATTTATGTCTCCCTCCCCCTTTTTAAGATATTCATTCATCCTTAGTGGGAACGAGATTGGCTATATGTGCCCAAGTGCTGTTTCGCACGTAATACCATAGTGACTTCTTTAATCTCATCTTGCTGTTTTGACTGTTTTTCTGCCCTTTTATCTGGAGGGAGAGAGATGTGTAATTGTAGTCATCTGTGGAAAGCTTCCCACACCTCTCCGTCAGCCTTTCTGGAAAGACACCGACTTTTGCTTTCCCCACAGGCACGAAGGCTGCTGGATCTTGCGACAGTGAAGGGGAATGGGTTGGCTGCCTTCCTTCTACGACATGTTCAGGAATTGCCCGTTCCGTTGGCCCTGCCTTTTGGAGGTATATATATATATATATGTATATATATATATATGTGTGTGTGTATGTGTTCTCAATTCACCAGAAAGGGAAAGAAAGGCTGTGCAGATTCCAGGTTGAGAACGAAACTCCAGAGGGACACATGTCCATTAAAATTCTACTCACTGGCGGTGCAGGCCTCTCTAAGACTCAGTTTCCTGATTTCAAGGATACCACCGCCACTGGCTCACTGGGCTGGCGGGACAAGTGAAAGGGCCACCATGTGTGGTGGTCAGGTAGCTTTTATTCCTGAGCGGCACCGTGATAACTGGAGCTATTGCGCACTGCAGCCAAGACAGGTGTCCCGTGCTGGCCAGGGTCTTATCGTCTTCACTGAAAAGGGTACACTTTTGCGATAGCGCTGTTTTCTCTTGATTTCTGTAGTTTATCTACTCACTGTCAGAAACCACAGGACCAAGCGTAGGTAGATGATGTGGTATCTCTCGTTGCACATGGTTCACCAACCCAACTCAGGGACGGGAGGGGCTGGGATACCTCACCGGCCACATCTCCGGGGTCCTCCCATGTGCTTTGTTTGTGACAATCTGGAGAAATGGCTGTTATTTTCCCCTGCTTTACAGGTGTGAGACCTGGGGCAAGGAGGGCGAGTGACGGGCTGGGGACAGTGGGTCTGGTTTTACATCGTCTCCAACAATGTGTTCCCTTTTCTTGGGAGAAGAGATCGTCAGTTGTAAAGAGAGGATGCAAGCCGGCCTGTCTTGTTCCCACATCACCCCTAGGGATCGCTTATTGGCCGTGAGGGTCCCCGAACCGTGGGTGGCACTAGCAGACAGATTTGTCACCCCCGTGCTCTACCCTCGGGGCAGTGAGCATCCCTGTGGGAAGGACGGTTGAATCCTGTGCTTGGCACCTCCGGGTGCACCGTCTCCTCGGAGAACAGAACACAGACACCCATGTACAGCATGAACTGCTCAACACAGAGTATGGAGCCCCGGTTGGCCCTTGGTTAATGTGTGCTGTTGATGTCACCAAGCACAGCTGGCTTTCATGCACTTTAACACCATTTCGTGGTGCAATAGCTCCCAGGGTGACCATTCTGAAGTTGACGGTTGACTTGTATTTGTGTTTAGAATGAGAGATACCTTTTTCTCCCCCCTCCCCCCACCTGGAGAATTTTATATTGTTGGTGGCTGGAAAACCTGCATTAGGAATCAGGTATTAGAGAAAAAGGTGTAGATCTTATGGTATCCGTTCAGTGCTCCTGGTATATCCAGAGGGCATTAAGAGCCACAGTAGTCATCAGTTCTGGGAACAGAAGAGGAAACACAGACATAGGGTGACTCCTTCGGATGCACGAATCCCGCGTTAGTATGCCAGGAGTGCTCTGTGAGAATTACTAGTTCACGTTGGAGTTGAGAACAGATGGGCCAGTATTTGGTTGGGAGAAATGAGGCCATGATGCTCTAAGGTTCCCCCACCATAGGTGGGGGGGGAGGCTGTGGACCACCACTTCCTCATTCCCAAAAAGGGAACTACCCTCTGAGACAGGAAATGGTTTGTTCACATTGGTTACTGGGATAGCAAAGGAAAAGCAGCAGCCCTGCGGGCACACCCTGTGTTGCAGAGGGCCCATGAAGATGATGGGGAAGTGAATCTTGATTAAAGAATCTCGTCCTTGTGCTTGATCCCAGGCACCCTAGTGACCCCGAGATTATTCAGCGTTAGGTCCACTTGGTCATCCAGGATCATCTCCCCATCTCAATGTCTTTAGTTCAGTCACATTCATCGAGTCCTTCTTAAATTTGATTTAATTTATTTGTTTATTTGAGAAATAAATTAGCGCAAGCTAATGGTGGGCCCAGCTTTCAAATTCAGGTGTATCTGTCTTCAGAAACTGGGCTCCTAGGCTCTTAAACTTTGTTTCTCTTTAGAAAGACACAGCTGAGGTTGAGTGGTGAAGAGGCTCATCTAAGATGAGCGGGACAGACATTGGAATGGCGTTCTTCTGATCCCAGGCCAATGCTCCTTCTAATCTACAGATCTTCCTGATGTCAGTGATAATAATACCACTTGCTAACATCTTTTGAGCGTTTTGTGTTGGACACTGAATGAAGCACTTGACTTGAATTATCTTAATTGATCTATGTAAACCCTATGAGGTAGGGACCGCCATTTTCCCACTTCACAGGGGAGGAAACCAGGCTTAGGAAGGTTGCATGACTGCCATCAAAGCCCGTAGCTTGCAAGTGGACAGCCAGGACTGGGGCACGCTGGCTATTCTCTCCATGCAGAACATCACATTCCCCTATCCACCTGCTCTGTCTGCTGGCGTCTTCCCCACGATCCTGCCTCATTTACCTTTTCTTCCAGATGCCGCATGCAAGAAGTACATGTCCAAGCTGAGGACGACGATATCTGCTCAGTCTCGCTTCCTGAGCACCTATGACGGGACAGAGAATCTTTGCCTGGAGGAAATATACACAGAGAATGTTCTGGAGATCCGGACAGAGGTGGGCGTGGCTGGACCCCCACCGACAAGCCCTGCTACCCTGGGCCTGGAGGAACTCTTCAGTACCCGCGGGCACCTCAACGAAGACGCTGACACCGTGCTGGTGGTGGGCGAGGCGGGTAGCGGCAAGAGCACCTTGCTGCAGCGGGTGCACTTGCTGTGGGCCTTGGGGCTCCACTTCCAGGAATTTCTCTTCGTCTTCCCGTTCAGCTGCCGGCAGCTGCAGTGTGTGGCAAAGCCGCTGTCCGTGCAGACCCTGCTCTTCGAGCACTGCTGTTGGCCTGACGTTGGCCATCAGGACGTCTTCCAGTTCCTCCTTGACCACCCCAGCCGCGTCCTCTTAACCTTCGATGGCTTCGATGAGTTCAGGTTCAGGTTCACGGATCGCGAGCGCCACTGCTCTCCGACCGACCCCACGCCTGTCCCGAATCTGCTGTTCAACCTTCTGCAGGGCAACCTGCTGAAGAATGCCCGCAAGGTGTTGACCAGCCGTCCGGACGCCGTGTCGGCTTTCCTCAGGAGGTACCTGCGCCTGGAACTCAACCTGAAGGGCTTCTCGGAAGAGGGCATCGAATTGTACCTGAGGAAGCGCCACCGCGAGCCGGGGGTGGCCGACCACCTCGTGCGCATGCTCAGAGCCACCTCAGCCCTGCACGGCCTGTGCCACCTTCCCGTCGTCACGTGGATGGTGTCCAAGTGCCACCAGGAGCTGTTGCTGCATGGCGGGGGGGGCCCAAAGACCACCACGGATATGTACGTGCTGCTCCTGCAGCATTTTCTGCTGCGGGCCTCCCCGCCCGACTCGGGCCCGCGCGGCCTGGGGCCCGGGCTGCTTCGTGGCCGGCTGCCCACCCTCCTGCACCTGGGCCGGCTGGCGCTCTGGGGGCTGGGCCAGTGCTGCTACGTGTTCTCAGCCGGGCAGCTGCAGGCGGCGCGCGTCGACGCGGACGCCGTGGCTCTCGGCTTCCTGGTGCGCACCCAAAGCGCCGTGCCGGGGAGCGCCGCCTGCCTCGAATTCCTGCACATCACCTTCCAGTGCTTCTTTGCAGCCTTCTACCTCGCGCTCAGCGCCGACGTGCCGCCGTCCTCGCTGAGACACCTCTTCCGCTGTCAGCGGCCGCGCGGCTCGCTGCTGGCCACGCTGCTGCGCACGGCGTGCGTGCTGCGCGCGGGCCGCCGGGAGGGCGGCGTGGCGGCCTTGCTCCGCGAGGCCGAGCCACACAACCTGCAGATCACGGCGGCCTTCCTGGCGGGGCTGCTGTCCCGTGAGCACAGCGGCCTGCTGGCCGAGGGCCGGGCGTCCGCGAAGGCCCTGCTCCGGCGCCGGGTCTGGGCCCGCTGGTGTCTGTCCCACGGCCTCCGCAAGCACTTTCTCTCCATCCCGCCGGCCGTGCCCGGGGAGGCCAAGAGCATGCACGCCATGCCCGGCTTCGTCTGGCTCATCCGGAGCCTGTACGAGATGCAGGAGGAGCGGCTGGCGCGCGAGGCGGTGCGGGGCCTGAAGGTCGGCCACCTCAAGCTGACCTTCTGCGGCGTGGGTCCCGCCGAGTGTGCCGCCCTGGCCTTCGTGCTGCGGCACCTCCGGCGGCCCGTGGCCCTGCAGCTGGACCACAACTCCGTAGGGGACATCGGTGTGGAGCAGCTGCTGCCGTGTCTCGGCGTGTGCAAGGCTCTCTAGTGAGTGCGGCTGGGGGATGGCAGCGGTGCCCGTGCGGAGGGAACGCGGCCCCGAGGATGCGGCTGCGGGAGCACCTCGCGGGGACCCAGGAGTCACCCCTTCTGTGCTCCCCCCAGCCCAGACCCTTCCTGGGTCTGCTCTTTCGTTTCCACGTAGGATAACGACAGCCAGGTTTTTTGAGTGTCCCGGGTGTCAGGCACTGGGTTACACGCCTCCTGGAATTAATTCAGGTAGTCTCCATGACCACCCTGGGCTGTAGGCAAGGGCGTTATTATCCCCAGTATCTTAAAAAAAATGTTTTAATGTTTATTTATTTATTTTTAAATGTTTATTTATTTTTGATAGAGAGAGAGAGCAAGAGCGTGAGCAGGGCAGGGGTAGAGAGAGAGGGAGGCACAGAATCAGAAGCAGGCTCCAGGCTCTGAGTTGTCAGCAGAGCCCAACAGGAGGTTTGAACTCACTAGCCTTTGAGCCATGAGATCACGACCTGAGCCAAAGTTGGCTGCCTAACTGACTGAGCCACCCAGGCGCCCCAATGTTTATTTATTTTTTAGAGAGAGAGAGAGAGAGAGAGAGAGAGAAAGCGAGCATGAGCAGGGGAGAGATAAGGGACAGAAGGTCTGAAGCGGGCTCTGTGCTGACAGCATGCAGCCCGATGCGAGACTTGAACTCATGAACTGTGAGATCATGACCTAAGCTGAAGTCAGAGGCTCCACCAACTCAGGCCCCCAGGTGGCCCCCATTGTCCTCAAATTGAGGCTCAGAGAAGCAAAGTAACTGGTCTAGAGTGACACAGGAAATGGCAGAGCTGGGATTAACAGACCTCATCCCCAGAAGCAGCCTATTGATGGACAGGTCTCGGGCTCCAGGAGAACCTTGAAGTGCTGTGCAAAGTTCTGTGTAACGACTGTTTGTATTAGGAATGAGCCAAAGTTCAGAGGTGACTTAGGCCCCACGAGAGATTTTAAAATCCCAATGAGATGAGAGTTTCAGGATCCCAAGAGCTAGAAAGTGGCTACGGAGTACCACCTGTCTTTTATTTATTTATTTATTTATTTTAAATGTTTTATTTATTTCTAGGAGACAGAGAGAGAGAGACAGCGTGAGCAGGGGAGGGTCAGAGAGAGAGGGAGTCACAGACTGAAACAGGCTCCAGGCTCTGAGCTGGCAGTCAGCACAGAGCCCGACGCGGGGCTGGAACCCACAAACCGTGAGATCATGACCTAAGTGAAAGTCGGACGCTTATCCGACTAAGGCACCCAGGCGCCCCACCACCTGCCCTTTTAGCCCTGACGCGGTACAGGGTCCAGATGAGACTTTGGCCATCACCTGTACTGCTCCCAGCCCCCCATCTGAAGGTGGGATGCTTCCCTCTTTGGAATGACTGTTCCCGCACCCGTGGGCCACGTGACAGCAAAGGGCATGCCCGGGTCTGGTGGCCAGCCTTCAGCAGACTCCCCAACTTCCCTTTCAACCTCGAAAGGGGATGTCCTGCTCCCTGTTGAAAACCTCTGAAAAAGCAGAAGCTGTCGCCTAAGGTTAAGATCGACTCACAGCCCTCCAGGGCTTTCAGTCTATCCCAGGTGACCTCATTTGCCCCAAGGCCAGGGACAAGCCTCTCCTTGAATATATTAGGACGATGTACCTTCTCTGGGCCAGAGCGTTAAGACTTTTTCCTCTTGGGAGCAAACATTCTAAGAAATTGTGTGGTGGCCTGTGTTATCCTTTACATAGGGACCGTGGGCGTAAGTTTATAAGTATAATGTAATAATAGTTAACATGTACGTTATAGGTAATGTGTGTTATAAATATATCAGGAGGAAACAGATGACGCATTTAAATTGGGTGATTTGTAGAGAGCTTAATAAACGGACTGTTTAGAAGGGATTGGGCAGTAGTAAGGAAGAGTGAGAAGAGACAGTGCACGGTCCTGGGGCCAGTGACTGGGGCGTTGGGGGTTGGGGTGGGGATGGGACTGTCACTGTCCTCAGGCCTGGAGGGACAGGGCTGGGGGACAGGTGTGGAGGAGGCTGCCTGATAGGAACTGAGGTCACAGAAAGCTGGAAGGGTGGGGTCTGGGGGAATAAACCCTGGCTCTTACTCCTCTTTCCTGTTCTTGCCTTGACCACCCAAGACTCAGCGCGGGACCAAGAGTCAGGTAGAGAGGGGAAGGCGGATCTGGCCGGACAAATGGAAAGATGGCCAGCACAATACTCTATTTCCCCAGGAAGGAGGAATCACCGTATGTTCACTCAGGAAGTCTGAGACCTGATAGACTTATGTATGGACATTCTTGTGGATACTGAACCCCCAGTTCTCAAAGGGGTCCTCGAACCCCCCCAGAGGTCAGGAACCACTGTCCGGGATGATCCTTCTAGACCAGTCCACCCCTGGAATGAATGGATTCTCTCTCCTCGGGAAAGCCATGTCATTCCCAGGACGTGTCATAGGGTTGAGGGGAGGCTAGAGGTCTCTCTCCATTTCTAGAGGAAGATGAGGATGCTCCCGTGACAGTGCTCAGCCTAGAGATGCAGAGGAGCCTGTAGACATGCAGATTTGGAAGCCTGCCCCCAGCGATTCTCGCTCCCTGGTCTGGGGATCTGTGTTTTCTCACTGACGTCCCTGGGGATACTGCTCCAAGGAGTCCAAGCCACCCTGTGAAAACAGCCGGTCTGTGGGAACTGGCTTGATTTTCCATGAGCGATAAAAGACCTTGACCAAGCTCTACCGCTCTTTACGCTCCACACTGAAATTGCCAGCATTATGTGGGAGGGGAAATGATCTGGAGGTCAGGCATTTCCTGTGTGTGTGTGTGTGTGTGTGTGTGTGTGTGTGTGTGTGAGAGAGAGAGAAAGAGAGAGAGAGACAGAGAGAGAGAGACAGAGAGAGACCGAGAGAGACAGAGAGACAGAGACAGAGAGACAGAGGCTGGCGAGGAGGGGCTCCTCTCCCCCAGAGCCATGCTGTATCTCTCCCACTTGAAATGTTTCCATGCCAACAGAAACAAGCCCTCAGCCTCCAGGAAGTCTGTCTACAAAGTACCCCCATCTAGATTTCTTTAGGCCCCGGCTCTGACTCTAGCGTTCTGACTTTCAAAATGTTTTGGCTGTGACCCACAGTGAGAGAGAAGGTGCAAATGGACACGCAGGCAATCTAAACAAAAGCTTCACAAAATGACTTGCCCATGCGAACTCTGATGCAGTCTGTAGTCTTCCGTTCTTTTTCTCTTTTAAAAATGCTGCTCAGGACCTTTGAGGTCAATTTCATGCCCGCCAAAGGGTCACAGCCTGCAGCCTGAAAATCACGGCTCCAGGAGCCCACAGGGGGCCTTGGGGCAGAAGTGTGCGATGTAGGCTTAAGGGTGGGCTTTGGAGCCAGACCACCCCGGGGACCAGATCCTTTAGGTGCTGTGCAACCTTGGCAAAGTCACTTCACTTGTCGATGCCTCAATTTCCTTCCCTCTAATGGACATCTTAATAGTACCAACGTCATGGGCTGTAGTGAGGATTAAACACCTTTACTCTCCGGGAGTGCTTGGGTCGGTGCTGGCACATCAGATGCCCCACACGTGCGAGCAGCCGTGATTACAGGTAGCTTCTGCCTGTGCCAGCACTCCCAGGGCTCTGTGAGTGCTGTTTCTTTAAGTCCTCTCCTCAGCCAGGGGAGGCTGGGAATACCACCTTCCCCTTTTATAAAGGACCAGCAAATAGCTAGTAAGTGGCTGCTAAGGATCAGAGTTTCCACTGCGGGAAGATTCCAGATCTCCAAGGGGTTAACCTTTAAGTCAGGGTCTCCCAGATCTGCCCGAGGGTAAAGAATCCTAGGCACGTTGTTAACATTCACAGATCCCGGTCCCCCTCTCCCCCCAATTGCCAGCTGCTGGGGAAAGGACCTCAGAGTTTGTATTTTAGGGATGCTTCCTGAAGATCTTGTGATCAGGTGAGTTTGGGGGAGTGCCGCCCCGAAAGGAGTGTCAGAGGTGCCAGGAACCCCACCAGGGCTCCAGTGTTCTTCAGCAGGAGCTCTGGGCACCCCTGCCCCCCCCCCCCCCCGCGCAGTCCCCCACGTAGTGCACGACATCAGCACCCTGACCCCCAGGGATGGAGCCGTCTCCTCTTTCCTGGGGTGCTCAGCCCTGGCGGGGGTCCCCAGAAACACAGATGCTGGCACTTTGGGCATGAGCCAAAGTCTCTTGTAGGGTTTTGTTTATTTTTCTCTTATCAGCTCCACTTTCCAAATCTAGTTGTCTTTTTTTTTTTTTTTTTTTAGCTTGCGAGATAACAATATCTCAGACCTAGGAGTCTGCAAGCTCGTCGAGTGTGCCCTTCACTGTGAGCAGCTGCAGAAGTTAGCGTAAGTCAGCTCAGGCGGTAGACGTCGTGCCCCGGGCCACGCTCCGGGTGGTGCCGTTTGGGCGGCAGCCGGGGCGAGAGCGTTGGTGTGGTCGGAGGGTGCAGGTGACTCCCGGGTTGAGGGAACGGGCTACCCTGGGCCTGGGGTGGTCCCTGCCCACTGTGCTGGGTCTCCACGTCTCCTCTCCTTTGGAACTTTCCAGTCTCTTCAACAACAAACTGACTGATGGCTGTGCACAGTCCGTGGCGAGGCTCCTCGCGTGCAGGCGGAACTTCCTGGCGTTGAGGTGAGCCCAGGGCTTGCCTGATCCTTGGGAACCGCTTTTCGCATCTCCAGAGCTGAGTCCATTAGGTCTGGTCCTGGCCCTGGCTCGGGCCCTACTGGGCTCGTGATCCCCTGGCTGGATCAGGGGCAGCATCCTCTTTGAGCAGCGTTCCACTAATGTGACCTTCCCCGCAGACTGGGGACGGGCTCTGCCGAGGGCTTCCTGCCCTTTGGTCTTTGGCCCCTAGGGCAGAAGAGGGTTTCTAGGAGCTTTTCCCTCCCTGTGTCTATGAGTGTCAGAAGCTGTCTGGGGTTACCGGGGTCTCTGAGGTTCATTGAACACATGCTACGAGGGGAGGCACGAAGCAGGCAGCCAGGCACTGGAAAGCTCTTACAAGGTCCTCTCCCTGCTCGGTGGGTGCCGGCTTTGCACTCCAGTCTGTGAAGTCTGCCTTTCTGCTGCTCCTGACCTTCCTGGCTCAGCGGGAGTCTCTCTCCCACATGACACCATTCAATCACCTCGCTTGCTGGTCCCCGGGGTCAGCCTGGCTTCTCTTTCTCCCTGGGATCTTCTTGCTTCCTGGATGTATGTGGCAGTAAAAGAAGACAAAGTAAACAATTGCTCTCGTCTATTCTTGGTACCTGCTGGGCTGGGTTTGGGGTTGGGAGCTGCTGTGCTGAAATTGCTAACTATGTAGCCCAGTCTCAGGCAGGGCTGCTGAGACCAACCCCAGAGGGGCCGTTCTGTACAACGGGCTCTCTTCTTCTTCGTGTTTTTAAATTTAATTTATTTTGAGAGAGAGAGAGAGAGGGAGAGAGCAAGCAAGAAGGGGAGGGGCAGAGAGAGAGGGAGACAGAATCCCAAGCAGGCTCTGCGCTGTCAGTGCAGAGCCTGATACCGGGCTTGAACTCACAAACTGCGAGATCATGACCTGAGCCAACGTCAAGAGTTGGATGCTTAACTGATTGAGCCCCCCAGGCGCCCCCCAAAGGACTCTCTTCTGTTGCTACCGCCTGCTCCCCCAGACTCAGAATGCTGAGAGCGGCTGTGGCCAGAGCGGGGGCCGGCCTATCCCCAGGGAGGGCTGTGGGGTTGTGGGAAGGTACTATGCTCAGAATTCGAGGCCTGGGTTTTGGGCTGGTAAAGCAGAATAATTGAGAGAGCATGGGGCTCCCGGGCCAGACCAACTGAGGTTTGGATCTAGGATCCCTGAGATTTGAATCCTCATTCGTTGTGTGACCTTGGGTCAGCCCAGTGCCTCTGGGACTGTTTTCCCTTCTGTAAAATGTCGATAATAATTGCAGGTTCCTCCTGGGTTGTTGTAACGGTTAAATGGGTTAGGATACACAGAAAGCTGGCACGATCTAGTCCGTGCTTTAGGGAACGAGCTTAGAGGCTATCAGATGGTGGGTGATCATGTAAATTCTCAGCGTGTTTACCGTATGGTACTTCAGCCCTCCCAGGAGGGATAGGGTGGAACTATTTGTAGGGAAAAGTGCCTCTGAAGCGGAGTGGGGAACGGGGCTGGGGGTGGCTGGGAGAGTCAGCCGACTGCCCGCAGCTCGGCGCAGGTCTCACCCTGAGCGAGAGGGAGAGGGAAGATAGGAAGGCTAGGAGGAAGTTTCTAGACTTCAGGGCAGTTCTGAGAGCACCGAAGGCTGTGGGGAAGTCCTCCAGCCAGATCTGCCTGCAGAGCCTTGTGTCTCCCAGACAATGGCTGGGAGGAGCCCGTGGGAAGTGACCTTGAATTTCCCAGCACAGCGGCAGGGGCCCGTAGTTACTCAGCCTGTGGTCCGAGGTGTGGGAGGCCACCCTGCCTCTTCTTGTAGAGGATCATAGCACCCGCCCTGCCGGATTGTTGTGGGCCAGGGCGGCTGCAAGGGTGTGAAAGTTCTCTAAAAAGAGGGAAGTGTATTGTTAATTCCAGGAAGCCTGGGGTTGTGAGTAAGAGTTCTGGGGACCTCTCCAAAGTTCTCCGAGGTATCTGGGTACGGCTGAACCCTCCCCCCACCTCCCCCCTGCTCAGCAGAATGCCCTGCCCTCTCCCAGAGGCTTGGGCGGAACAGGTGAATGCACCCTGCAGCAACAGTGCACCCAGGAAAGCTGCTGGGCGCGTGGAGCCCGGCACCAGCTGGGGGCTGAGCCGGGAGGAAAAGCTGTGACAGTGAGTCACCCTCCCTCCCCGGGGGAAACCACCTTCTATGGTGCGGCATGCTGCCCCTACCTGTCACGCTGCTTTGCAAAACAGGTCCCTCCCCTCTTTTTCCCCTTTGCGGCTGGAAAATGAAGTAGCGGGAGTCACGATTGAGTAAGATCGCCAAGCAGGGACAGAATCACACTCAGGGAGTCTGACTGGCAGGAAGAAGCCAGGCTCCCGTGCCCGGCAGAGAGGTCCTCAAAGCTTTTCTCCACGTTCCCGTATCTGGGGCATGCTTACCCCCCCCCCAGCCCCTGGCCTTCTGGGCACTGGCACCCCAGGTCCGGCACGCCTTCAGCCTTCCTGCCTTCTTTTCCAGGCTGGGCAATAACCACATCACTGCCTCGGGAGCCCAGGTGCTGGCCGACGGGCTCAGAGCCAACGCCTCCCTGCAGTTCTTGGGGTAGGTTGGCTTCTGGGGCAGAGGGACCCCCATGGGGGCGGGTTGGGAGATTTGGAGGCAGGTGAAATCTTCTAGCAGGAAGGCCCCAGAGGCAGTGGGAGAGAGTGGGTGGCCCGTGGCTGCCTCAGTGCTTGCCTTTCACTCGATAAACAGGAAGTTCAGGGGGTGGGGGTGGGGGTGGGCAGTGCCCATGAGTGGGTGCAGGAAGCCCTCTGGTCCTCGCTGGGGCTAGGGCTGTGCCTCTCACCTTTGGGAGCTTCTGAAGAATGCCATCGCCTGGGCCCCACCCTAGGGGTGAGAATCAAGGAAAGAGATGCAGGTGGACCAGGCTGGAGACTGGACCCAGGACGGGAGGGGGCCCTCGCCAGGTCCTTCAGAGCGCTCGTGGCTGCAGGGCCGGGCCGGGCCTTCCAGTGACTGGACAGGAGTCAGACACAGGCTGGGAGGGCAGTCCCACAGACCACAGGTCCCCAGAGGATGTGTGTGTGTGTTGGCGGGGGGGCTTCCTCTGGTGGCTAAGTGACCCCCCCAGGCTTGCATCCGGGCAGTCCCCGGGAGCCCCGCTCCTGTCCTGTCTTACGGTGAGAGCTGGGATCCATCTGACGAGAAATGGGAGTTTGAGAACCCAAGACTGTAGGAAGACAGCCTCACCTTAGGGCCCAACCGATTTCCTCGGCAGGCAAGCCGCCCACAAGCTCAGCTGCAGCTATGAGTAGGACCGTGTTGCTTCAGGGATCAGCTTCAGGGGTCGGCACGAGCCGCGTTCCTAGGAGCGCAGAGCCCAGGACAAGGGTGGGCCCAGGCCTGCTAGCCCCGCTCCTGCTCGAGGTCACAGCCAGTGTATGTGGGGTGTTATCTTGCAACACCTATTTATTAAGGCACCTGTCTGCTCCAGGCACTGTGCTAACCCCCCCAGATACCACCATAGGATATGGAGTGTTCCGAATGGAGGTTTTGATTTCGCTTGCCTCACCGTGTATCTTTCGTACCGTAATGACTTCATTTTTAAATTTTTAAAATGTTTTTATTTATTTCTGAGAGAAAGAGAGCGACAGCGTGAGCAGGGGAGGGTCAAAGAGAGAGGGAGACACAGAATCCGAAGCAGGCTCCAGGCTCTGAGCTGTCAGCACAGAGCCCGACGCGGGGCTCGAACCCACCAACCGCGAGATCATGACCTGGGCTGAAGTCGGACGCCCAACCGACTGAGCCACCCAGGCGCCCCACAACTTCATTTTTGAAAGATTAGCCGACTGGCCTTCCACCGGCAGGATGTCCGGCCCCATTTAGGCTATTCCAGGGTTTTCCCTCTGACACAGCTTCTCGCTCTCTCCCCAGCGGCACAGAGCAGAGCTGGCTCACAGCCAGAGCCCAATAAACATTTACCGAACGAGCGAAAGTGTGGTGAACACCCGAGTTCAGCTAGCGTTGCTCACTTGTGCACAGACGGGCCTGGCCCGCTCGCTTCCCATGTGTGAAACAGCCAGGTCCTGAGGCATGAGTTGGGCTCCGCCTTTGAAAAGGGGGGTTTCCAAATTTCGGTGGGGCTGAGGGGGATGACCCAGGAGGTGTGACGGCGTGAGGAAACGGGGGACCAAGGGGAGAGCGAGAGAGGGAGCTGGCTTGGGGGACGAGAGTGAGGCTTGTTTTGGGTGTCCACAGAGGGTCGTTGAGGACCTGTGGGTAGCAGGCACCAGGAAGCAGCTCTAACCTAAATGTCGGGGGGCAGGGAAAATGGCACCACGCCGTGGGCTGCCTTTGAGAGCGAGTTCCTTGTCCCTGAGGACATGCGCTGGGTGGGGCCTCGACTATTCTCTAAGAGTCTGACAGAAAAATGAATGCAGTTTGGCTGTCCCTCCCAAAAGGTGGAGGCAGGTCCATTTGGCTGGGGCCTAGGAGCCCCACTGAGATCTTTCTGGAATTGGGTGGTCCTGCCCCTCTGGGCAGGGCCTGCGGGAGGAAGGACACTGTTCATGCATATTCTAGAGCACACAGCAGTGACTCCCTGACCAAATGACACAGTCTGTTGGCCTTTTTAGGTTCTGGGGCAACAAGGTGGGTGATGACGGGGCCCGGGCCTTGGCTGAAGCCTTGGGCGATCACCAGAGCTTGAGGTGGCTCAGGTAAGCTCTGGGGTCCGCGGGGTCACAGGGAACCAGAATGAGGAGGGGGTCCTGGGCCGTTTCTGAGAGTCCTTCATTCGATTGAACTTTGTTCTCAGCCCCCCATGTTGGGCAGTGGGATGAGAAAATGAAGAGCCTTGGATTTGGGGTCAGGACCCTTGAGTCTTTCCGGGTGACTTTGGAGATGTCCCTTCTCCCCTTACGGGTCTTGATTCCCTATCTGTTAATTGAAGGTTTGGGGCTGGGTCAGGTATATTTAAAAAAATTTTTAGGTCTGTTTTGAGAGAGGGAAAGAGAGAGAGGAGAGAGAGAGAGGGGGAGGGAGAGAGAGAGAGAGAGAGAGAGAGAGAATGTGTGCATGCATGCATTGTGGAGGAAGGAGAGAGAGAGAGGGAGAGAGAATCCTGAGCAGGCTCCACGCTTACACAGCACAGAGCCCAACACAGGGCTTGAACCCACGAACTATGAGAGTTGGGTGCCCAACTGACTGAGCCGCCCAGGCGCCCCTGGATCAGATATATTTTATCTGAAGGACCAGCTGCAGCCCAGGAATAATGGCTACACCCAGGACATCATGTTGGAAAGAATTCTAAGGCTGCTTCTTAGCTTAATGAAAATGAGCACCTTAGTCAGTTAGTCATGCCTGAATGAAGCAGACCCGGATGTGAGGTTACGTGGGTCGTGCATTTTGCCCTTCCCGGGTCAGCTTATCTCTGAGGTCCCTCCCTGCTCCAATGTGTTTTTGTTCCTTGATTGCATCCAGCCTGGTGGGAAACGACATCGGCAGTGTGGGGGCTCAAGCCTTGGCGTTAATGTTGGAAAAGAACGTGACCCTGGAAGAACTCTGGTGAGTCGAGGGGTTCCCTGCTCTGAGGAGGCAGATAACACCCTTTCCTCCTTCCCTGGCCTCACCCATGGACGCAGATGAAGCAGAGGCGGATGACTTAGTGGTTGGGCTGTTGGGTTTGTCTTTCTACGTCCTGGGTGGCATGAAGCTTATAGAGCTTGACACGTAGGTGCTCATTCTTTTAATGGAATTAAAAGCAACTGGTTTGTTGCTTCGTATACTGCCTCCACGTGGCCTAATGGTTGAGGCCAGAGACTCCAGAATCGAGCAGGCTGAGCCTCAAGGCCTGCTGTGATCTCTGGTGAGTTAAATCATAATCTCTGAATCCCAGGTTTCTTACCTGCAAAATGAGGGGTTGACTGCTTCTGACTGGAAAGCATATATCGTTATGTGTGTGAAGTCTTTTTCAAACGCAGGTGTTCCTTCCCTAGATTCTATTTTATTTTTTAAAAACGTTTATTTCTGAGCGAGTGAGCGTGAGCAGGGGAGGGGCAGAGAAAGGGAGACAGAGGCTCGAAGGAGAGGGCTCTGCACAGTGCAGGGCCCGATGTGGGGCTCGAACTCACAAACATCAATATCGTGCTATGAGCCAAAGTCAGACGCTTAACTGATTAAGCTACCCAGGTGCCCCACATTTTTGTTGATTCTAAGTGAGGTGAAGTGCCTAAGCATCTTGGAGAGTAGAATGAGGGTCACCTTGGAAGGTGGAGTGGGGTGTGGGGCAAGTTCAAAGGTGAGCTATATAGATGGTACTTACACTGGTGACCTGAAACTGATTCTGAGTCTCCCGACCTTTAGATGCCACTAGCTGGGTCTTCTTATGACATGTTCTGATTAGATCCTGATTAGATCAGGGAGACAAATATGCTGATTTCTCCAGGAAGCAGAAGGCCGTTGAAACCCGTGATCACTGTCACAAAATGGATATTGTGGTGGGGTAGCTTAGCCAGAGTCCCATTGATTATATCCCGACTGGACTTTACCACCTGGAAATTCTTGTTAGAGGCAGGCCTGGCCATTGAGTGTATCCGTTATGACCACACCGGGCTGCAGGGGAGAGAACAACTCTCTGTACAGTGGCTCAAACCAGTAAATGATTGATTTATTTCACATCCAGCCAGTCTGGAGGCCTGTGGCCTAGGGCTGGTGTAATGGCTCCGGGAGGCCAGCAGGGGTCCCCAGTCTGTAGCTTCACCTGAAGCCGTGGTTGGTTGCCTCCTGGTCACCAGAGGGCTGATGACTCTGCAACACTATTCTGTGTTCCCAGATCCAGTCTGCGTATCCAGGGAGGGCGGGAGGCCCAGGCCAGCTCTCCCTTTTATTTTTATTTTTATTTTTCAAATTTATTTATTTTGAGAGCGAGAGAGAACACAAGCAAGGGAGGGTCGGGGAGAGAGAGAATCCCAAGTAGGCTCCTCACTGTCAGCACAGAGCCCAACGCAGAGCTCGAGCCCAAGAACCGTGAGATCATGTACTGAGCTGAAACCAAGAGTCAGATGCTTAACCGACTGAGCCGCCAAGGCGCCCCACGCTCCTCCTTTCCAGGAGCCCCATCTGTCAACTTCCCCTCTGTGCTAGTGGCCGTGTGGCTGTCCCTGGCTATAGTGGAGAGTGGGAGATGTAGTTTTTCTACCAGACACATGGTTGCCCAAATGGAAGGAAGCTTCTGTTAGTAAGAAAGGGAAAAAGGATATTAGACCCTGGGGACATGAGGGTACCTTTTATGTGGAAGAGCCCTGGGGTGAATTCTCTCCCAGAGATGGCCCTGGAGTTGAAATCCCTCATACTCTTACTGTATCTGTTCTTACTTCATCTGCTAAATATAGATTTTCAGATGTCGGATTTTCTAACTGGGTGGCAGGCAGGTTAATCCTTATCAATGTCATCTTCCATAACAAATGTGACCATATGAACTGGATTTTCTCTCTTTTTCTTGACAGCCTGGAGGAGAACCATCTTCAGGATGAAGGTGTGTGTTGTCTTGCCAAAGGACTTAAGAGGAATTCAAGTTTGAAAGTCCTGAAGTAAGGAGCCTGTAAGGAGCCAGGATGATAGTGACGGCCTGGGGGAGGCGGTGGGGGAGTGGAATTTGGGCAGCTTCCTGCCTCTCTAACTCACACAGGGTGGCCTGGCAGAAAACGGCTGGTAGAGTCAGGCCTCCCCCAAATACAGACAGGGATCCCAGTGCAAGTGGTTTCCTGGGGAGGTGGTCCCAGCACACACTGGTGAGAGGGCAGGGAAATGAAGTAGTATGGAGCGGTGGGAAGAACAGAGCAGTCCTCAGCCCCCTGAGCTCTTAGATTCTAATGGGAGAGATGTATAGTGAACAAGTAAGCAAATATACAAGCTTGTGTATAATAAAGGGTCTAAAGAGTATTCAAGAAGGAGCTGTGCCAGGGAGTGGCTGGAGAGGGCAAGGTGGCAGCTGCTTGGGGATAGCCTCTCTGAGAAGGTGGCATTGGAGTTGAAACCTGAATAATGAGGAAGGTTATTATTCTTGTCATGCTGTGGTTTCAGGAATGCACATTCCAAGAGGCCCAAACAGCAAGGGCAAAGGCCCTGTGGCAGAGGCAAGCTGGGTCGTTTTGAGAACAGAGGGGAGTGCCTGTGTGGTTGGACTGTAGGGGAAGGTGGAGGGGGCAAGAGGCAGGGCAAGGGGGCCACATTGGCCTCAGAGCCGTGGGGAGGATTTAGGCTTTATTCTAGGGGCACTGAGAAGCCTTTGGAGGCTTTTAATTAGGGCAGTAACATCTGATTTACATCGTAACGAGATCATGCTGGCTGCTTTGTGCAGAACAGCCGGAAGACAGGTCAGGTGGAAGGCGGGAGACCAGTCAGAAGCTCCTGCTGCCTTCCTGGTGGGAGAGGAAGGGGCCCTGGGTCAGGTGATGGCAGTGGAGAAGGTTGGCGAAAGTGGGCAGGCAGTGGTGGGGGCCCTGCGGAGCATCCAGGAGCTGGGGGGGCGGGCCAGCGGCAGCGTCGGCTGGAGGCGGCGGGGACTGGTGGTGGCGGGCCGGGGGGGGGGGGGGGGGGGGGGGGGGGGGGGGGGGGGGGGGGGGGGGGGGGGGGGGGGGGGGGGCGGTTCCTACTCCGTGTGGACCGGGAGAGCGGGATGTGAGCAGGAGCCCAGCTGGCGGTCATCACGACCTTGTGCCGGGGCTCCCCGAGGCTACTGCCTCACCTGCCTCGCTGGAGAGGGATGTCCAGGCACCACCACGTGGCTCCACTTGCTGCTGGAAGGGTGGCGTCTGCCCTGACAAAGGTGGCCCGCAGGGGAACCTGTCACCTTCAGAGGCAGGCAGACAGCTGCCGCTGGGAGAGTGTCTGCCTCGCTGCTGGCCCGCCCTCCTCTCTGGCAACACTTGTTCGTGTTGCCAAATGTTTGGGGAAAACACTTCCACTCGTCACTTGGGTGAAACCGGGCTGGGAGCCCCGGGTGACGCCTGGGCTGTCTAAGGGGGGACACAGGCTCTGTACAGGGGGGTCTCCAGCAGTGCCTGGTTTACTATTAACCAGGTGTGGCCGGGACACATTTGTCCTCCCTCCTTGTGATGCACTCACCCCAGCCAGCCCCCTGGGCTGCCAGGTAATAGCAGCAGGGGTGTGTCCCGCACTGCCTAGGCCCCGGGTCTTATAATTAAGTGCCGCGGAACTATATCATCCCTCTCATTTCCCCCCCAAAAAGCGAGCTTCTTATGTATCTTTTAAAAACCAAGCAAACAAACCCAGTATCCTTTTTCGGGCATAGTGACTGCCAAATGCTGGTGAAGTGTGTGGGCTCTGGCACCCGACAGCCTGGGTTTGGACCCCAGTTCCACCGTTACCCGCTGTTTGGCCTTGGATTTGTGCTCCGGTAGCCTCGAGTGGAAGCGGGGGTAATAGTCGGACCCCCTCTTAGGGTTGTGAGCGTGACTGGCGTGATAGAGGTACTGAGCCGGCTCATAGTTAGAGCTCAGCAGAGCTGTTGTTATTACTGGCTCTGCCGTAGGGTCAGCTTCTGGAATGTTCCTCAGACTGTGGACATGGCAGACAGGTGGTGGAGGTGTCTTGGAGGCCAAGCTATGTGCAAAAGAGCAGTAGGGGGTGCTGGCTCTTTCCCTGCTTGAGTTTTCCCCTGTCAATTCCCAACCTCGTATTTTCTCAATTCCATGTCCCCGTGCCCCTCAATCCCCTCCCCCCAACCCCCGACGAAAATATTACTGTTCATTGATTATTTCCTTTCAGGGGAGTACGCTGCAAAATGCACCACAAAATATGCCATTCTTTTAATGCTTATTTTTCATGAGATAGGCACTCTTTTAGGTCTGCCTTACAGATGAGGAAACTGGGACTAATTTGCCAGAGATCAAAGTGAAACGCACATACTTAACCACCATGCAATATCATCTCCGTAAGGGAGTAGCTGCTTCATTAGGTAAACAAATCTGGTGAACAGAGGAAAGAAGGGTACATTTCTCTTTAGGCACTGAGTCTTTGTGGATGAGCTCAGTGGGAGTCGCAGACAGGAGAGAGACACGTCTAAGGGGCCAAGTCCCAAAGCTTCTTTTAATTGGACAGGCCTGAGAGGGCTGAAGCTCAGCTTTCTGTCTTCCTTTCCAGGCTGTCCAACAACCGTGTCACCTACCTTGGGGCTGAAGTCCTTCTGCAGGCCCTGGAAAGGAATGATACCATCCTGGAAGTCTGGTAAGGCCCCTGGGTGGGCCTCTTTACCTCTCTGAGCCGCACTTTTCCAATCTGTAAAATGGGGCAGGAGAGAGGGGAACTTGGGAATTTTCCTTCTGGTTCTGACATTCAGTGCCATTCTGCATTCAGTGAATCTGATTTCTCTGGGAAAGATGTTTTCATGCCTACAAGCATGGACCAAATTATTCATTAAAATTTTTTTTAATGTTTTATTTTATTTTTGAAAGAGAGAGAGATAGATAGAGCGTGAGTAGGGGAGGGGTAGAGAGAGAGGGAGACACAGAATCTGAAGCAGGCTTCAGGCTCTGAGCTGTCAGCACAGAGCCCAAGGCGGGGCTCAAACCCATGGTCTGTGAGATCATGACCTGAGCTGAAGCCAGACGCTTAATTGACTGAGCCACCCAGGCGCCCTGCAAGTCATTCATTTTTAAACCCTAGGTATTCAGAAAGGTCTTAGTTACAGGTAATAGTGTAGGAGGGGGCGTGGTCGAAGGTGAAATGGACACAAGAACTGAGGGGCCTTACCCCTGACTTCCCAGGTCGAAGAGGTTATATCAGAGCCTCTGGGTGGAGGCTACATTGGCGTTGGGGGCTGGGTACTGTTGCATAGTGTTTCCAGATCTTTATAACTAAAAGCCACGTTCCTTCATGTATTTGAAAAAAAAAGCATCGAGTCACAACTACAGAGATTTATCCTCCTTTCCAGGGGTGTATTTATAACTCGTATAGTAAGTACAAAAGTTTCCCCTGGCTTTACATGTCACAAGTGACTGTCACTATATGTGTTTCAGGCACTGGACTAGAAGCCAATATTTATTTATTTATTTATTTAGAACACAAGCAGGGAAGGGGCAGAGGGAGGGGGAGAAAGAGAGTCCTAAGCAAGCTCTGCGCTGTCAGGGCGGAGCCCCATGCAGGGCTGGATCTCATGAACCGTGAGATCATGACCTGAGCCAAAACCAAGAGTCAGACGCTTAACTGATGGGGCCCCCCAGGCGCCCTGAAGGCAATCTTTAAAAACTGGCAGATCCCCTCACACACACCCCCCCCCATGAAAATCTGTATTTCCAAGTTTTCTACCAAAGGCTTCCAACTCTGGGCCCCCACAGAAAATGCCAGTAAGTAAGCAGAGTAGAGAAGGGCTGAACCCACTTAGCTGGGCGGACCGGCTCAGGCCGACCGCACCCCTTCCCCCTGCCAAGTCGGCTGTATACTACCTGTCTCATCCCTGCAAACGTGTGACCCCTGCTTCACATACGTAGACTGACTGGTTCCGCCCTCAAAAATCATATCGAGGCAGCAGCACCAATATATATCGAATGATGAATCTTAAAATAAAGACGTCTAGGCCTCTATCCTGTGATGAAGAGATTTCCCTTTCTGTATGATTGTGTAATCTCTGCAGGCTGCGAGGGCCTCAGGTCCCGGGCAGAGTGTGAGTTTGTGTTTGAAACCATTAAGTGGTCATAGGAAATATCACCTTCTGTGTCCGGGAGGAGGAAGCCAGCATCAGGTTGATATTTTAAGGGTTCTGATGTTATTTGGCGCCTGTTGGCAGAACCGGGAAGGTATCAGGGCTTGCTCATTGCATTCTTGACAGACTCCGCTGTTGCCTGAAAAAGAATCGCCTGCCTTGGGGAGTCGGGGCTGGCTGGGTCCGGCACGGATTCTCTGCAGAGTCACAGAGGCTTGCTTCATCGCACATGGTGACTCAGGAGCCGCCCTGGTGGACAGAGGCTGACACCGGCCTGGGAGCAGGCCTTAGCCGGGCCTTGGGGCCAGGCCGATCTGCGCAGCTTTGGAAAGCAGCGGCCTCCAGTTAAAAGCACCACCCTGCCTCAGCCTCATCCAAACCTCTCTCTGCTTTATCCCCTTAGGCTCCGAGGCAACACTCTCTCTCCGGAGGAAATTGAGAGGCTCCAGCAGAGGGACTCCAGACTCTTGCTCTGAAGCCCCGGGGGCCAATGTTCATCTCTGTTTGTGAACGGGCTGTGTGGGTTTGGATCCCTGAAGCTGGATTCCACCTGGCGGCAGTCTGTTCCCACAGAGCCTTTGTCCTGCCCAGGGCAGGCACGATAGGTCACCTCCATGCTGGCAGAAGATGGGGCAACCGTGCCCTTTGGAGTACCTTCTCTGCAGCCTGGTTTTGCACTCAGTCCTTCCCAGGAGTCCATCGGTGGAGCCCTCCGGCCCCACCTCTGGTGTATCTGACGTGGGTCAGTGGGGCCCATGGAGATTACTGGGTGCCTGGGACTGTGGAGACCCAGACCCGCAGGAGCGGCCCCCCTTCCCACCTGCCTCACAATGGAGAGGGGGACTCGGGAAGCAGCTTTCTGCCATGTTTTAAATCACGGGTTGTCATCCATCCAGATGTTCCCCACATCTGGTCCCTCCCCCCATCCTGGGTCCCTGCACCTGCACTTCCTCTGAGAGTCAAGACTCAGAATCCTGGTGTTCTCAGCTTTGATATTTATAGCCTCTCCCCGCCCGCCCCCTATATACCTAGTGTGGGAAGGGCTGCAATCCACCTGCTCTCCTTCCTTATGCTTAACACACGATTGAAAGGGGACACATGACAGCCATTTGTTCCCTAAGACCTGCTAGATTTTCCAGAAAATAAGACCACACACTACGGCTGCTATCAAATGCACAATTTTTTTTTTTGTCCAGTGAAATCAATTACTCTTCAGTTAACAACTCCCCACCCAAATGTAGCTTTTTAGAATCAGAATTTTGAACGGTCCCACTGCGTCTCTGGTAGATGCCTGTGAGTTGTGATGGCAGGCCCCTGAAATGGTTCAGCGTTATGTGATACGGAGTTACGGATGAAAAGCTTACAAGGGGCAAAATCAAAAAGACTTTTCCTCATGAGGCAGATGTTTTTCTGGATTTTTCAGAACAATGCATTGTTGAAGCCTCTGGAAACCGTCAGGTGCCACGCAAGTGTTACTATTTAAGCCTTATTATTTGTGCAGACTGGTTAATATTTATAAACCACTGGGTTTGATTTTCTCGAGTTTGTTTTTGTAAAAAAAAACACGACCGTGAATTTTATGCTGTAAATAGTCACGGGGAGGAAAACGGCTGAGTCCCCGAAGCTGTGGGGGGACTCCATGTATTTTTGTGACCAAAATATTTAAAGAATGTTCGTGAATGTTGTCAAATATTAAAGCACAATTTTCTACTTGGAGGGGCAAAAGCGATGTGTTGACTCAATCATTTGTTGTTTAGGACACAAGCAGGTCTTTGGAATGGGCTTGCAATGAAAGCCCTTTGGGGCTTCGGCTTACAAAGGTCTAACCCAGCGCGAAGTTTAAGCTGCGTGGGGACCTCGAGGTGCTCCCCTCGTGGCTGACAGGCAAACGTGAGGAGGCCCCAGGGCCTCCCTTGACTCCCTCCCAGTGCCTCCAGCAGCCTTAAGCAGGAAGAGGTGGGAGAGAAGGTTCGGGAACAGCCCTCCTCAGCAAGCCGCCCCCTTATTGAAATCCGTCTCAGCTGTGTGTGATGAACAAGGGCTCAGGCGCGTCCTCACCGAAATGAGACCCGCATCCTTGAAATGTTGGATGTGGGCCCAGCCCACATTGCCCTGGGCTCTGGCGTGTGAGCACACTCCTTGGCAGGCTGTCTGTCGGTGGCGTCGGGTTCTGTCCAGACGACTGTTGTGAGGCAGAAGGTCCGGAGGGGAGCAGACAGCGATGGGCCTGCTCTCTCGGAGGCCTTCGCACTGCGGTGCATGTGTGGGGCGGCGTCCTGGACTGGAAACATTGGAACATCTCATTTCCCTTAAATCCGTGCGGCAATTATTTATTAGCCAAATGCATTGGGACGATCGGGGGATGAACAAAACACACATGAGCCTTGTCCCCGAGGCACTGGGGTTGAGGCGGGGAGGAGAGGTGGGCAGAAAACTAGTGGACTGGAAGATGCCTAACATAAGGGCCACCGTAAGTGTAGTAAGTGTAGTGAGGGTCAGGATGGAGGGGAAGCGTTCTGATTGGTCAGAGACGGAGACTCTGGGGGCCCCAAGCGCGAGAAGCTGCCGTCCGTGCAAAGAATGAGGGGGACAAGCTGTATGAAGACCCTGTCGTGGGAAAGAGCTTGGTACTCGCAGTGGGCTGAACAATGGCCCCAAATATTTAACTCCTGATTCCTCGAGCCTGTGAAATGTTGCCTTTTGTGGCCAAAGAGACTTAATTTAAGTGGTTATGATGAAGCTCTTGGGTCGGGGAGGTTGTCCTAGATTATCTACATAGGCCCTAATTGTAACCATGAGTGTCTTGTGGGAGAAAGACACTACCACAAAGGGAGGAAAGGGCCCCAAGGGTCCAGGCATGCAGCTCTGGAAGCTGGAAAAGGCAAGGGTACAGATGGCCGCCCCCCCCCCCCCCCCCCCCCCCCCCCCC